TAACATTTGGAATAAGTGAAGGAAAGAACATTACTTTCTAATGTTCCCTGTGGTTATCTGGGTCAGGATAATTAAAGACAAAGTTCTCCCACAAACTTTTCCCATGTTCAGACTACAGGAGTGGTTCTTGGTCAACCATACAGGCGGGAAGACAACCAAGCTCAAGGGTTCACACAATTGACCCCTTGGTGCAAAAAGGCTCAAGGAAACCTTCCTGTGAGMAGTCCTTACAAACTGATCATCCATCCTTCCAGCATTGCTAAAAATGTAAAAGGAATCAGTTATAGGAGGTTTTTATTAAACTATTCCATTTCAACATTTGTCAGAGCAAAATGGTCTAAGCAGGCAAATGCCACCACTTTTACTAAAGTGATATTCACGGTTGGAAAGGATTCATGAAAATACACTGATTTTATACTGTTTATACAAGGACATTTGCTCTTGCTAATAAAAAATCGTGCAAAGATTTCTGTGGAAAAACTCAAACAAAATGTGTCCGTTACACTCCGTCCTCCCCTTTCCTTTTTGGACTTTTAGTCTTTCAGATAAAAGATTTCTGTTAAAAAAAAAAAAAAAAAAAAAAAAGCACTGAAAAAGAGGAGGGCAAGGGGGATCTTGGCAGAGGAATCGCCACCTGAGTTTTTCCTTAGCTCAAATAAGTTTTCTTTTACCAACAGAGGATAAAGGAGTTGTACAGACTTGTTGTAACTACAAGAAACTCCCAAGAATAGGAAAGTGTAGGTCATTCCCKAAGGGCAAATTTGTTGAATTGCAGCCTAGACATCCAAGAGAAGCCATGGAAGCCACACCACTTGAGAAGCCAGTACAAAGACCCATCCTGTGTTGGTAAAAGAAATGGATAAGGTAACCTAGTARCTCAATTCAGGATCTTATTTCTAAGTTTCTGTGACTCCTTATATTCTGTAGGACAAATGAAATGTTGTGAATGTGTTGCCAAAGAAAGAGGGCAGGGATCCTGCTGTACTTACCCATGCTAGGCAGTATTTATTCCATATTTAAGAGGGTAAAACTACCTTCTGTGTTACAAAAGCATAGCATGCTCCAAGTTAGGATCAAAGTAAGCCTTGCATGAATTTCAGGAGGTTGTAAGCCACATAAGCTAATATATGAAAAATGCTTGAGAGATGAATATTGCCTTGGAAAACAGTAAATAATCAAGAGGAACTATTCAACAGTTGGTATGTTAACTCCATACATTTCAGGAAAGAGTCTACAGACCACGGCTAATTACTGGACATCAAAAAAAAAGAAAAAAAAAAGATTTTCTGTCAGCAATTCATACACAAATGTTAAGAAAAAGAAATTATATACAAGCACTGAGATTGAGAACAAAATACATTTCCACAGCACAACCTTTTCAAAATAATCAGGTGTCAGGCGTTCTTGGAATTTTCATTTAGATATTTCATTAGRTGCTGTGAAAATTAACAGTTGTCTCACTGTTAGTAAGTTAGGAARCATTTTATGGAAAAACAGTTCTATAACATCCCACTTAAAATATTTACTCTCCAATCTGTCATTTACAGTGCTTAGACTGGAAGATGAAGAGCCCATTAAAACTGGGATTGCCTATTATTCCACACAGCACTGATGTAGGCTGTTTCTTTTCCTTGGTACCCAAAACCACAGTATTCCTGTCACTAYGACTCTGTGATGTGCTCCCCAAGCACCTTGTCTCAGTATACCTTTATATCCTCGCTCCAGTATGCACCTGACTCCGCAGATCAGGGTCAGCACATCCCACCACTTCCCTTGCAAACTTGTACACCTTTTCTGCAAGCAAATGCTCRTTTTAGATTCCTTGTTTAACTGCTTTATGTGCTAATCTACAAACTGATCTGRTCAGAGTTTTTGTCCTCTCCTATCTGACTCTAGATGTTTCTAAGGTGTCATTGTGCACATATAAACGGGAGTCTCTAATATATATTGGTATAGAAAGCACTTGAAGACCTTTCTGACTGGTACTACCATAAAGTCAGTTGCGTAATACCATCTGGAAAAGGTGATAATTCCTCCAAAAGAACTGCAAGACACCAACAAAATTGCCTCTTTCACTAGCTCTATTTCAAATGTCGCCAAAACACAAGTAAGGAAGAAAAGCGCTGGAGCTTTTAGCACTATAAATGGTAGGCTGGAAAGTGAGGATGTTTAACAAACAGCTTCCCCATACAATTTCCTAGTATATTCAGCTTATGCATATATTTACTTTGGAGTGCACTGCAYGTGCATTCAGTTCGTGAATACCAGRATGCCTCCCGGTAGGGATGGAGAGGGTAACAAAGAGGTGGCGGACACAGGTGATGGCACAGATGTCTCTTGTGCGGCACCACTCTTTGTGCCATCGGCCGTACTTACACTTCAGCCAGCGGGCTCCGGCGTGTGTGTCCTTGTCCTGGATCAGCCTCCTCTGCGTGCAGCTCCTGCAGAGGTACCACAGCATCCACAGCAGCTGGATGAGCATCAGCGTGATGAGGTAGGAGAGCAGGTGGCTCTTGCTGATGCCCACGGCATGCACAGCCCAGGCGAAGGTGAGCAGCAGCCCGGCCAGGAAGAGGTTGATGCCGTACTGGCTGCTGAGAATCTCGGCGTTTTTCTGCGGGTAGCTGCCGCCCACAGCGGGGCACCCGGCGGCTTTCTCCATCTCCCRCGCCGCCGGCCAGGTGCTGCACGCAGGCGGCCCCGCTTTCCCCGGGGAGCCCCGAGGGCTCCGCTGGCCCGTCCCCCATCGCGGCGGGGGCGGAGCGGGGCCGCCGGCCCTGGCCGTGCCCTGCCCGCGGGCGGGGGTCCCCGACTGCCGGGGCAATCCCGCTCTCCCCGCTGCGGGAAAGGCTGCTGAGGTTTCTGTGGGACAGTCTTACCTGAGGTGACAACAGGTGGGGTCCAGGGCAGGGTAAGGAGAAGGTTAGCTAACGCAGGTTAGATCGGAGCCAGGCAGTCGTTTCCCTTCCGGAGGGGCAGGTGAGCCCGGTCCGGCTGCCTTTGGTGAGGGACACGGGGTTATGTCCGTGTTGAGATACCTGTGCGGTGTAACATGTCCCTTGGACAGAGAAATGGGAAAGACAGCGGGTGTTGGACAACCCCCCGGCCCGATGGAAGCCGAGGAACGGCCAGCACCTGGCAGCCGGTGCGAATGGAGCCTGCCCTGCAGCCCAGGAGCCAACAGCTCTGATGGAGCTCTTTTGCACGGGGTGGCAGTGGGATCACCCACGTCCTTCACACTCTGGGCCATCTTCTGGACAATCGCTACTTTAATTGGTAGCACAGAACCTCGGTTTTCAGGACTTCTCTAGACCTTTCAAATTTACCTTATTTTTTTAGGAAGTCCCAGCCTGACAACACAGTATYATAGGAATTGCTAGCTGGAGAAGCAACTACTGAATTCAAAGTAGCAAAAGCTTCTGCAGAATTTTGTCCACTTCTTATATATTCATTTTCCCAATATTTATAAACATTTTTTAACAAAATTCACCTTTACAAAACTGAATTCTCTCAACTTTAGGTATTTGGGTACTGAGCCATAGCTTGGAGGCCAAATACCAGGATAGTCTGGTCCTTGTCCTGCCCAGGCAAGTCTTACATTTTTTACTCTTACCTRTTGGTTGTGTATTGATTACCCAAAMCATTGGTTTTTACAGTGATTGACCCACATCTCTCATGCAATTAGGTCACTGGTTCAACCACTTTGGGGAAAAAAAGGAAGATAATACAGCATCTATTTTACTYCCTCTGGCAAAACATAGGAGTTGTTTTAAGCTTTTTCTCTTCTGAAGCCAGAAATTAATAGAGGGTTTTTTCTTACATAACAAAGGACACTTTTGAACTGACATATAAGTGTCTGGGGATCACAATCCTCTTAAAGAACAGGGAAGAAAAACAAAATGGCAGAAAGAAGGAATGAGTGAATCAATCACCTATTGAGGTAAACATAAAGAAGTAGTTCATGTACTTTATTCATTTTGCCCTRTTCTTAAGAAACAGGTATTTTAAGCCATCTGCAAATCTTCCTTTTGAAGAATGGACTAAACTGGAAGCCTGCCCTATGTTTCTGTTTAGCCTATAACAGCAATATCACTAAAAAGCACTAACTAGTCAAACAGTTCAGTCTTCAACAACCTCTGGCTCATAGTGTCATCCATCATTATCAGAAGCTCATRGAAATGCCAAATCCTACTTTTATCTCATATAATGTCACCTTTAAAGAATAGCTAAGGAAAATGTTTCCATTTTGAAGAGCTTCTGTGGGTAACTGTGATAAACAATCACAGTTGTGGACTATTTTACCTCGAGATAATCCAAGAACATTCCTTGCCACTTGTGAAGGAAAGCTCTTTGGTGCTGGTTCACATCCTCAGCCTCAAATGAAGTTAATGTAAATGGATACAGAAGATAGCTRTGATGGTCTGTAGCAAGATAATAGATTCAAGCTTTAGTATAGGTGGGGATTTTGATTGCCTCATTTCAGGGAACTATTATGCTACCTCTTTCTACACTCTTGCCATAAATTCTTTATTTGGTAGTAAGGAAAATAACARAAGTAAGGAGTTCACAGAACTAGAAGTGGCAGCAGCATTGTGTCAGCCTACAAYAGTTAAAACAAGCATTGTTTTAAATTTTTACCAGATTTGCCACTACTTCATTTTGAGCATATAAGTGAATGAATATTGTGTTGGATACTCATAACTGTTACGGAAAGACTTTACAGGACTTTGTACAATGAGTATATCTACTCAGGATTCTCAGAAAGACATCAAAGTAATCAGAGGGTAAACAGCTCTCCAAAGGGGAACAGAGTGGTATTACACCTTCAATAAACCCAGCTGAGGGGGCATGAAAAACAAAGATACTCTGAGCCAAGTACGTTATTTAAATCTACATGAACATCTATTTTATAGAAAAAGCAATGGGATGGGCTGGAAGTCTCCAAGAAAGTGTAATTAAACAGTTAAACAATTMAATAGTGAACAACCATTCATCACTTTTGTAAAAAGTTTATTAAGATGTTCAAAAGAATGAATTTGAAAAATCATGTAGCAAATAGTTATTTTAATTCCAGATCACAAGGCAACTTAAAACACCTAGAGCATTTATATAGTTGACAAATTAAAACACAGSTATAATAACTATCCCTGAGCAATTTTAAACTGCATTTTAAATATTATAWTAAACAAAATTACTCAAATGTACCTGTTGACACAACGGGTACATTTAAATTTAATTTAAAGACATAAAATTGTTWAAACTTTTTAAAAGAAGAGCTGAAGTTAAGCAACTTACATTTTCAAGATATGAAGCACAACTGGTTTTGGCACACTTAAATATTACATTTAAACAAATGAAGCTGTTAACTTACTCCACAAAATACTTCAAGTAGTGGTGAAAGCAATTGATTTTGGTTTGTCTGATTCTTTGTATCACACACTATTAGGATGCAACTTTTTTCCTCAATGGAACAGTAGCAGCCAAAGACAATGTGCATCTTTTTTATCACAAAACATTCCATGTGTTCAGCAATGATGTGAATTTGGAAATCAGAATGAAGAACACAGCATCCTCTGACAGTGCAGACTTTAGCAACAGTCATAAAGAGAAGATTTTAGCAAGTTTCAATATCCAATTTCTACATTCTCCTATTTTTCAAAAGGCATGGGTGGGAATGTATGTACGCAAGAATTTACATAAAGTGGTCTAGCAGCTAGATAGTGCCCAGGTCTTCAGAYAGTTAAGTATTTCAGTCAACAAGAACAGATGCCTAATAAAAATAAAATGTTATTTTATTTTCCCAACTGAGTATAGCTAGTAGTTTTTAAGTTAGTATCAGCCTCTTCATTGCTGAGGAAGGAAAATGGCAACTTCATTAACAGGCACTGCTAAGAATGAAAAGTTAATTTACAGAAGAAAAAACAACCTGAACACTGAAAAACAGTGCATACATCAGAAAAATTTATTGTGTGCTCCAAATTTATTAWGTAATGTTAATATTGTTCATTGTATTGCTGGTTATTCACAGCTTGATTTTCCACCTTTGGTTGTGGACAAACTGCATGAGCAAAAGTAGAATTTACTTCGCTGATGGCACTGTCAACTGTCAACCAGCTTTCCCTTACCCCTATTCATACTTTTTTTAACATTAGCACATCTGAATTCAAGACATTAGGTAATAAAGTATTTCTTACATGGTAACACATATAACATTAGAAATTTAACAGACCGAGAAATCTCTCCTATAAGTAAGTTTGCAAGTACAAACACAGGTTCCAGATAACAGTATTTTACCTGTCAATTTAAATGGAAAGAATATAGTATTAAAACCCCACAACACTTGATTTAAGTATCAATTACTTCCAAATCAAACAACATGATTTGAGCAGGAAGTTGTACTAGGTAACCTCTGAGGCCTCCAAAGATAATATTTAAAGGTCTCTTCCAACACTAACTATTCTATGTTGGTCTTACTTACCACCCATGTGCTTAATATTCAAATACAAATAGAAAGCTTTACAAAGCTTTACAAAATGTAAGGTCTCACATTACTAAGAGATGTAAAACCTATTTATTTTTTAATTATTCACTAATCAGTTGCTTTTTCCTATGGTTATGTCCATTGATTTTTAAATCAAGTAGATTAAGAATTACTGTATCAGTCAGAACAAACTGGCAGCATTAAAAACAATAGAAGTACTGGAATGTAACAAAAGTGACATACACTTTGCAGGATTACAGTTACTTGAGYCCTTCACATGAAGCTGAAAGAAAAGAAAAAACAACCCCAATTTAACAAAAACCTTTAAAGGTTCTATATACTGCATACACTGTACCTTGTACTAACTCAGTAAATGAATGATTTTGCAACATCAAGTAATAACTTGGCCTTAAGTYAATTACTTCCTAAAAAATCAGGTTTCTTGGTATCTAGAAAATAGATGGGAAAATGCAACACTGGTTCAGTCTGTTGTCAAAAAAAGACCAAACAAATCCAAACAAACAAAAAATCCTCTGAGTTTCACCATCCCAACCATTAAGCAATTTTTGCCTACAACTCTGCCAGTACAAGAGGCTACACTCTAAATCACTCTAAATCCATCACAGCCTTCTTCYTGCTGCCCTCATAAAAATACTGGGGGATCTCCTCACCAAAAAGGGTTTRTGATGGCAACAAAGCCAAACAGGCTTCCTCCTCATTCCCTTGAGAAGTACAACAAATAGGACCTGCTGAAGGAGTAGCTTCGCTGGAAGATATGAGATACCTGTGATAATGGGGGACATCCTTTACCCTATTTACTGGGCTGTCTTTGATGTCTTCCTTAGCTTTTTACATTTCACAGGATTCATTTGATAAGTATATYCTAACAAAAGATGTAGGAACCACTTTCAATGTGGCCCTTATTGAGAGTGCATTTCTCAAGTCAACAAAACAGATGGGTTTGCCTTTGAAAAGTTCTTTTTAGAAAGAACAAAGAACTTCTCGTATCTGGCAATTTTCCAGATAGCAGGTTGATCTGGACTGTTTGTCACAGAAAATCAAAACAGCACACTTGAAAACAAAGATACGACAAAGATTTTGTATTAGAAAAAAATAGAGAAGGTACTCGCATATGGATGTTGATATCTTCTCCCCTTGTCTATCAGGTCAAGCAGCTTTCCTAAGAAGTTCTCCCAGTCTAGGTAAAAGCTGCAGGTTTTTGGTTTATATGCCCCACATCCATTCTCACTAACGTTTCTTTTCATTGCCTAGAATGGAATCTTAGAGAAGTGAAAAGGATACTCTTCCCATTTGGATAATTGCATGTTCTCTGATTATTCTGCATGCCACAAAATGTCAAAATTCTAACAATGTACACAAAACATGGAGAAGGAATCTCTAAAAGGCCTCCCAACACTAAAATGTCTAACAAAGCAGTTTCCACAACAAGATAAATGCTTTTATGTGCTTAAAAAAGTCAAATATTTACCTGAAGGGCTTATCCCAGGAGTGACACAAGCATCACAACACCCATGAACTGAATGAAGAGCAACACAGGTGTAAAAAATGACCAGACAGGCCACAAGGCAACATTGAAACTGTGAATAAAAGCAGAAAGTATTTGCTAAGTTCAGTTGTCATGTTACGGAAACMCCAGGCATACAAAGAAAACATGTCGCAAGAGGAAATAAGATTTAAATGACTTAAACTGGAAATATACTTGTTTATTTCTGAAAACAAAACCCATCAAGGGTAAAGGGTAAAGATACCTTTTACTTTCAGAAAATCTSTATCTGAAGCCCCTGAAAATGACCTACTCTTTGATTTTTCCATGGGCATACATRGCAGCTGAGGGAAGCCTTAATCTGAACTTTCATTCAGACAGATTTCAGTGTTTGAACTCACCAAACTGCTGCTGCTATAAAGGTAGCTGTTGTGATGGGAATCAGTGCTGGGTACTGTTCATCATAATCCTGAATTCCACAGTACCACTCAAGATACAGTATGCAGTAAAAGGCAACAGATAAACAGGCACTCAACAAACAAGCACCACCGGCAAGCCACCAACTGCAGGAAGAAAAGCACATTAAACCACGTTTAGCACAGTCACATGGCAGTTTGCACAGTAATCTTCACTCCAGTCTACAAACAGAACTGACAAAATCTGTTAAATACACAGATTGTGGCCTACMGTTCATGTAGATTTACTTTTACAAAAGTAAGTTACTTTTACAAAACACTTTTTGCCCTTCAGAGCTGTCTAATATAAATAACTGAGTTCAATTTTGCAATGAAACATTCATTTATTCTCCCCTCAAGTATTTTGGAAATGCAAAGTGACATATCTTGTCAGGAATCTACTATGCTACTACACCAAAAATACTTTGTCACTAATGAAGTAAAATAGGCTCCACTGCAACTGTGCTTCTCACTATAAATTAGACTGGTGATTTCTGTGCAACAGAAATGTTGCAGAAAGCCTTAATATGATTTCAGTTTCTGACCTCTCAAATTCAACAGACAAGAAGCATGAAGATTATTCTTTATAGCTCCTAAAAAACACATGGAGACATCCATAATTTTAAAGTCAGAATCATAAAAACCCAGAGTATGTGATTATTTAGGAAGACACACTTTTGATCCACTTTGAGAACATACTTCAAGACTAGGACAGGAAAGATCACTTGAGAGGAAGATGCACTTTCATAAAGTCTTATTTAAAGTATTTAAACAAACGTGTATTTAACAAACAAAAAAATATGAAAAGTAAATTCTTATTACTGCAATTTGATTACCAAATTACAAATGGTAATCAAGGATCTTGCTACTCAGGTAACATCTGCTCTGGAATGATGCAGCAAATATATATGTTACTTTGGGCCCATGTTACTACCAATTGAAAATTGTGCACTAAAAGAACTAGTCTGCCTAGACAAGCAGTATGGGAAGGCAGGGTCCTGACACCCCAAATTTTGATTACATSCTAGTCATTAGTTTTACTTTCACAGTCAGCTATATGAAGGGCGTAACTAGCCTGCGGGAGCAGCTCCAGAGAWCCTCACAGAGAGAACCTCAAGGGCAAGGCCTTGTGCAGCTTCCACAATGATGTTAACAATGACAGCAGCAATGAGAGTTTTAAAAGTACTTTCAGCTGAAGCTATCTAAAAATATTTAGCACACATCAATCCCATTGAAAATAATTTAATAGAAAAAGACTAGAAATAGAAGTTACTTCATAGAAATTATTTGATTATTCTTTTGCTAACCTAGTCAAAGTCATCTAGAGAATTTCTAGAGAAATTAACTTCTGTTTGACATTTAAAGATAAATTTCAGGGCTTTTTTATTAAAATAAAATCAACCCCCCAACACCTTCAACAAAACAACTATTTCTTGGACTTAAGTAAAAACTTGAAGGTACAGTATTAAAATGTCTGGTATCAGACAAATTTTGTACATACAAAGAYGACTCAATAAAGTTAAAAGAAAAGAAAGCAAATTAGAGCAAATTTTAAGCATTGTACTTACTTTAAAATTAGTTTAATAATATCATCTTATGTGGTCATCTGACCTTCCTACTCAAGCAAGCTCAGCTACTGCCAGTTGCCCAGAATCATGTCCAGATGGCTTCTGAGTATCTCCAAGAATGGAGACTCCACAACCTCCCTGGGCAACCTGTTCAGTTCTCAGTCATCTGCACAGTAAAAAAGWGTTTCCTGATCTTCAGAGGGAGGCCCCATGTTTCAGTTTGTGTCAGCTGCCTCTGATCCTGTCACTGGCACCATTGGAAAGAGCCTGGCTCTGTCTTATTTGCACCCTCTCTTCAGGTATTTACATGCATTGACAAGATGCCTCTGAGCCTTCTCTTCWSCAGGCCGAACAAACWCAGGTTTCCCTATTCCTRTTGTAGATCTTGTTTATCCATGATTTAAAATACAGTGATCAGATGTAACAAACTGAGTATGATTGTACGACTAAAGCACAACATTTTTTTTGTAAGTAAAGATACCTTACCTATCWGTTTGCATAGTTTCTTTAATATTTTTTAAAAAATCAAAGTAGTATGTCACAACTATTGATGCCAAAATCCAGAATGCAGAATGAATATTCAGCCTGGTAAGAGGCCTCATCGTCTTCTCCACAGCTGTAGACTCTTCTGTAAATAAGAACATAATTATAGCACTAAAGCCAGTCATTAAAAGGAGTATGATTATAGTTACGTAAAGCATGATGCTTTATATTTTTAATTCATTTATCTGGGAGATTATTATATTCAACATAATACACTTTGTACTACAGATATTCTAAAAAGCATTTACTAAAATGAAACAGACAAAGCAAGGTACACTTTGATAAAAAGATAAAACAGTAACAATCAGCACAATACTGTGGCTGTGTACCCTTTTAGGAAACAGCTAACTAGATTTTGTAAGGRTTGTTTAACTTATTAAAAACTCCTGGTATTATAAAAGAATTTTTATTAATCTAGCATGTAGAATTTCAGGCTGTTTCCAATTACTAATTTATTTGTACCTTTCTTTACGAATTTTAGTATTTGCGAAACCATTTCAGGCACAAATGATTTTCTTGTTCTCAACTGCAGATAATTCACAAATTTTCAGCTCCAGTTTCAGGAGACACCTTGACTTACACTGCACACCTTCAGCAAGTAAACTGCAAGGTATTATTGTGCAGGAAAGTACCTTCTCTTTTTCCCCTCATCACCGTGTAGAGTTTTGGAGAGCGTGAGACAACAGAGTAAGCAGGTGAGAAAGCCTTTTTTTGGGCATGACAAGTAACCATGTAACACAGTATTTATACACACTGTCAAAAAAGGTGTCAGAGGTGGTTCTGATGTCTCACACTCTGAAGTTTATCACTAGGAGCTCTGGTGGCCYGTGTGCCTCCAGCAGCGTCACACGTGCCGCTCCCCTACACGCCCCGCCACCGGCCGAGCGTACCGACAGCTCTGCTGGAGCTTACAGGCAGCGTTATTTTTWATTTCCTACAATCCTCCTCATCCTRCGAGAGCTYGGGCCTGGAGCGTTCAAGCWYTTSGTTGTCATCCCGCAGTCCCCTCGCCTCTCCCCACATGCAGCTCGCTTTCAGGAGCGGACACCTGAGGGCAGGCGGGGCCGCGCTCCGCGCCGCTCCACCCGAGGCGCCCCCGCTGCCGCCGCAGCGCCCGCTCGGGGGTCCCGACACCGCTCCCCGCGCCCCGGCACCACCCACCGGCCATCCCACCGCCCCGGGCAGGCGGCTGCGGCTGCTGCGGGTCCGGGGACTCCGGCCCGTGGCGCCCCGAGCGCCGCAGCCTCGGGAGCGGGTCCCCGCCGCCGCCGYGCTCCATGTTGGGCCGCTCCGGCAGTGACGCGGCGGGGCGGGAGCGCGGCGTCTGTGACCGCCCCGGCGTGAGGGCAGCGGCGGCGCCCGGCGGCAGCGAGCGGCCCGGGATACACAAACGGCTGCGGGAATCGCACTGAGCCCGCCTGGAGACCGGGAACAGCGCCGTGTACTGCCAAGGGCCGCAGGGAAGGCTGCTGTGCCCAAAAGGATGCAGAAAAATAACCCCAAAAACTCTGCGCGTAAGAATGTTTTCCTCATCTGCCAGCCACGTGTTCTCAAGGACAGATGTTAAAAAAAAAGCTCAATTTTAGTGACACAGAGCAGTGGTGTAGGTGCAAAATGGTTGGACTATGACGCTAATAACACCAAGCTCATAGCCTTTATCCCCGTAGTGACCGTTCGTTCATTCGACTGGGTGATCCTTGTGGGTCCCTCCCAGCTCGGAGTGTTCTCTGATTCCGTGAAATGCAAAGTTCTAGGAGGTTTCGAGAGCCACGGGAATCCTGTTGCACTCGAAACTGCAATTCATAACTGGAAATAATAAACATATTTACAAGGCAAACCACCTAATAATTAAATAAACTAATWAAATGGTAAAATAGATTGCCTTGTAATGTAGTTGACTTCTGTGCAACTAGATACARTCACATCAGCATGTTTCTGCAAATGAAACCTTGAAACCAATCATATTACCAGGGTTTTCTTGTTTATTCACATGAACAAACTCAAAGCGACTCCATTTTGTTGGCAGATTAACCTTAGGTTTGGTCATTATAAGACTGTGAATAATAAGAATACTGTGAATATATGTACTATATCATCTGGGCTGTATTCAGTGATTAAACCATTACTATGGCTTTTAAAATCGAATTTGGTTTCTAAGAGTAATTATTCATTTCTTTACAGTGGGATTCAATGTAGAAATACTCAATAAAAGCTCAGATTATTATAAGGGAGATTTAAGGAAAAAAAATGTAATTTCAGTGTGTGGGTTTTACTTAACAAAATCAAATTTAGAGAGCTTCTAGCTGTATATAGATAAAAGTTAAAAAAACTCCAAGTCTTTAATAACCTGATTGTATTTTTCCTCTCMGAAGGCACAATATTTTCTTTGAAAACAATGATTATGAGAAATGTCTGAAATTTTCACTTACCATGTGCATTCTTTAAATGCTGTGCAGCATTTATCAACAGAAAAACCTTGCAGATACTTTGTTTTATGTCAAAAAAAGCAGGAAAATAAAAAAGAATGGAATATAGTCTGTCGTTAAATAATTACATATTTTATCAGTAAGGTCTGAAGATTTTAGGCCATTCTAAGGGAATAAATTAGCTGGTAGAAACTAATTAGTGTAAAAGTTAAATTTTCTCTGACTTGCACYGGTTTTAAGCAGTTCTAAACCTGCTGGGTAACTATATTTTCCGAATATACTGTTGTCTGTTTTATAGATGAGTGAGATTCTAGACACAAGGGAAAAYAGGGTTCTGGTTATTCTTTATTGCTGTGCACTGAGTTTGAAAAAATTCAGGCTCAAAGATACAAGAACRAAAAAGGAACAGATAGGCCTTCATGTAAGGCGTGTCACAGTAAGTAGAAATTGTTTTTCCAGCCTTAGAACATGTGTCACATAAAGGCCAAYCACATCATAGTCCTTAGTGACTACAGGGATTATTCTTTATGTAGYTGAGCTGAATATTTTGAAGTTAACAGCTCATGGGAGATCACAGCTCTGCTTTCTTATCAATGAAATAGAGGTTTCTTTGTTTTATTTCCTTTGACTGACTACACCAGCCTTCACTTTCATCTTAGTGATTCAAATAAGAAACAAAGGMAATCTTCATGCACTTTCTTTGCAAAAGCTATTCATAGGATGCATCTTTGATTTAAACATAGCAATTAAACAAATATGTATGCTTGTAAAGGTTAAGATCTGTTGTGTTATTAAACGGAATGCTTCTGTTTACCTACAGAGTAGGTATTGTGCAAAGAGCTGAAATAAGATCTTCCCTTCCTGGACTCAGTATTGACCTTAACTGAGACTGCTCATGTTCAGTGTTTGTTGAGCTGAGATGTTTTCTGTGATCTTTTCACAGAGCTTCTCTGATTCAGAAATTATTAATCTGCCAAAGAATAGATAGCAATCAGGAGCTGAACCGAGACTGTTACAAAATGAACAACATAATTAACAAAGCATCTAATCAACAGGCCTGTTATGGATAATTAATTCTTCTGAGTTAATGTTTAAGAATCCCTGCACAAATGTTAGGAAGTATTTTCACATGGGGTGCTTGATGTGATAAATTTCGTCTGCGTAAGGAATTTGTGAATTTGAAGATTCGGTGAAGGAAATGTGGAAAGGGCAGAGTTGGCAGCAATTTTTTTGTTAACTGTATTCCTGGTCTCTCACAAGATTCAGTTCCCATATTTTGCGAATTGAATTCAACACCTTCATATTCTTTTAAGTAGAAAATAATGCTCTGTACATTAGTTGAATGTCTTTAAATATTCAGGTTTTTCAGTWAAAAGTTCAGGCTGAATTTTGCAATCTAGTTGGATATTTTGAATTTTATTTTCTTGTTGCTTGCTGAGTATTTGCTGCTTACTGATTAGTTTGTTAAGTGTTGATTTACATGTAATTCTTAATGAAACACAAATGTGGTAGCTTTTTATKTCTCTTGAATGGATATATATAAAATATAGAATTGACCCTCCCAGTTAAATTCTCACTTTYAGGAAGTCAAATTAGTTTTCTAGTATTATAGCAAATATTCATAACTTTTTCCTTATTACAGAAATCAATAATTAAATTAGCTCAAATGTCATCTGTTCACAAAAGACATGGTTGGAATTTTCTTCATTCCATATCTAAGTAGGGCGGGCTACTTTCTATATTAATTTTTAGTTGAAGTAGGTCGTATATAGCATAGGCATATTTTTTTTCATTTTGAGGAATGATTGTGCTGTATACTCTGTGCTTTCTGTTCAYGAACTAAGTAATAATAAGGTGAGTAGTAGTATCTGCTGCTTATCTTCCACTATCAGGAGTAAAAGATTGGACAGGCAGAGATCCTCAATCCTTTCTGAATTTTGTCCTTGGAGTAAAGCATTGTGTCCTCYCCTACACTGGGTGAAAAAGTAAATACATTGTCTGACTCATCTAGGTAACAAAAAAGCCTCCACTACTACAGTTCTCTTGCTTTCATCTTGCATTAACTATTTTAAATTCAGTACAATGGAAAAAAAAATCAGCAAAGGACTTAAAAGCACTTGGTGTGAATAACTTAATGCAGATCTGAAAAACAACTGCAGGGTGAAACTCAATTGACTCTGAATATGGTCCATGTACAAACTCCTGAACTCAAGCTGAATTCTCRTGCGAGTATTAAATTGCAGTGCAGCCTTGGATTGACCCTTTATGAAGGAAACAATACATAGAATAGTGTGTTTGATACCAAGGAGACACTGTGTTTAAGCATGCAAGCATTTGAACTTCATGAAGAAAAAGAAAGCAGAAAAGATATAGGCAGTTTAAAAGGTGAAGAGGGCACCTAAGAAAACAGAAAATAAATTTGCCACATAGTCATCCGATTTATCTAGGTACRTTATTCTTCACCTTGAAAGTTGTCAGCAAATTACAAAAAAATTAGTTGATCGAGAACATTACTTTAATCTGAAGTATTTATTTGATAGAAGACCATATTAACCCTCAATTATCCCGATTAAAATTGTTAGATAGCTTCAGTGTTTGACTCTTGCCTTTTAGTATAATCAGCAATACAAATAGAAAGTAAGAAGACTGTTGTGTTCATTCCATCTTCAAATGTGCAAACAAAACCAAAATATTTATCCAGATTTATCTAAATATCCAAAAATCATCCTATTTATCCAAAATAAATCTGGACAAACCTTTCTCCTAGGAGTAGTAAGTAAATTTTCCTATTCTCTTTCTTCTAAATCATTTGTTGAGTTTAGTTTCACTTAACTATGCTTACTTTCTTAAGGGAGTACAATGGCTCTCAAAATGTTTTCCCAAGACTACAGTTTAATGATACAAAGCACTTGGCAGCAATACTCCAGCTATAATTGTTCTTGACTACACAATCCCCAGTAGTGGTATATAATACCTCGCAGTTTGAGGATTTGATCTGGTTTTAAAAGCCTGCAAAAATGCAGGGGGTGGTGGTGAGGCAAAAACAAATGGCCAGATGTGGGAGGGTGGGAAAGCGAACACTTGGGAACTACTGAAACTGATTTCTTTACTTAGGAAAAGTCTGTGCAACCATGCATCTGTAACAATATGAAAATAWTTTCATACTTAGGGCATTTAGGAACATCCTACATTTCTGTGTGGTTTTTTAATAATGAACAGCAGATTTAATTCACACARGAAAGATTATCAATTGTATGGGCATTCAAGTGTATCATTCAATATTTACTCTACAGGAGTAACTGTCTCTTTTGGTGTGACACTTTATTTCTCTRTTGGTAGAGGTTAGCATTATTTTAGGCTTTGACAGAATATTAACTATTGTTCTGGAGTCTAGTGTCACCACTACCTAGGATTTGACTGATGTACTAAAGCAGGGACAAAGCTTCTTGGGCTCATGGATCTCACTGTTAACAAGACAGAAAARAACAGCTCAGCATAGCAACATCTCATTGCTTGTATAGTGTGGGATGCTGCTTGCCTGGAGAATTTTTCTGTGAAGTCCTGAAAAAAAAAAATACAAAACGAAGCTCTTACACTCTTCATTCWTGATGAAGGTTTTCTTGACCATTGTCCTTCACAGTCCATTACTTACGTATTCTGTGGGGTCAATTTTCCATGTATTTTGAACAGATATGGTAATTAATTGGACAACAGAGTTAGAAGGAACTGACTGAGTGCTAAACTGTCTAAGAGAGAGGAGGAGAAAGATCTTTCCTWTAGGAAGACTGAATTCAGCAATCTGAATTCTTGGCTGGAGGATTATAGTACAATTCTCAATATTGTTTTGGGTAATCTACATAACATAAATAGGTCTTTAAGAACATCAACTGAACTCATCCTTATTCTTCTCATGGAAAACTTACCCCATGCTAACCTCTGGAACCACCTAAGTTCTGAAAGTTCACCAAAAAAGCTGAAACTTTCAAAGGTGTAATAACTGAGACAGAATTGTAGCAATGAGAAGCAAGAGGAAACATATTTTCATGCTATAAGACATGGTGAGAAAGAATGCTGAACAAAAAAGAATCCTAGGAAAAAATCCTGGGCCTGTCTCATCCATAGAAAACATGAGGCTTTCATGTATGAACATGTCAATATCTSTGTATTCCTCCTGGAATTCCTTCTTATCATCAAGCGAAAAGGCCAAAGAAGGGCAAAAAAATCAGGTATAAAAGCGCACTTTGTGTTTTGTATTTATACATTAATGACTGGATGGTGGGAGTTCATTACATGGCTACTGCAAAGAACAGGATGAAGGAGTAAACACAGCATGGTTTGAGCCACCTGCAATGCAGGCAGAATTCTGGTTCTTTTTTTTCAGGTTTTTTCTTTGTCAACTAAGATGTAGTGATCTGAATACTTCTAAATTGATTTCATGCTGCCTGAGAGGAAGATTCCATAAGGTTTAAAAGCACCGTTCTCTAATAAAACAAATACGTGTGAGTTAAGCTTRACTGTAATCAGGTCCCAGCTAGGCTTTTAATACTAATTTAGTACTAATGCATTCCACATAGAAGTTTGAGAAGAGGGGTTTAATGGGTGGGTAGGCATGCAGACACAATTTCTGGTTTTCTGTTACTTTCAAGTAATTTCAGGAACTATAAAACTGCTTCTGTTGGAAGTCAGTATTTTACTTCTGCAGTAGCTCACRTATGAAGTTGCAGAGCAAGAGCAGTTTCTATAAAAATAATGAGAAGGCAGAACACATCAAGACTGGACAATTCTAAATCTCCTAGAATAAATTTAAAAAGGAAAGACGAATTGAAAACTAGATGTGTTTGAGAAAGAACTAAGATGTATGATTTGCAATCTTGCAGAAAAAAATGTCCAATCTAAGCAAAAAACTTGAGGTTTTTCAGTCTTTAATRTCTGAGTGCACAAAAGCATGAGGATTCTGGTGCAAAAGGAATTACATCCCAGAAGTGCAAAGAAAAGCAGTAGATTACAGGGGCAAAAGGAACTGTATCTAGCAAGTACAAGGGAAAGTTACTACTAAAACTTCCTCCAGTCCAAGTGAAATTTAGAATTCAATATAAAGTAACACTTCCTGCAGAAGTACTAATGGGAAACATAATATGCAGCTTTTCTTGGCTGACAGAGCAGAAAAGAAACTTAGAGGACTTATTCTTGCTTTTTTTCTTAAAGGCTAATCCAGGAGAAGAAAGGGGTAAATGTTGAATATATTKACTGAGATATCTTGTAACCTGTGAATACAGCTCAATGTACAGAACAATATGCCTTTTTTCACTTATCTCACACAAAAAGTTTAATATTTGCTCTCTTATTTCTTTAATAAGGGTGAGTGTTACAGCCTTAAAAGTTTCCGAATGAAATCATGTATTGGATCTCTGTATCCTGTGGTCATCAGCTACGAGCCACTACTCATGTCGGGCTCTGACTACATTGTACTGATGCAATTGGATTATAGCACCAGGTGGGAGGATCAGTTTTCACTGGAGAAAGAATGAACTACTCTAATGCACCAGGACAGTAGAGGGCTGAGCACAACAAATAAGTAGCTGCCCTTTGAAGCTTTTTTTCTTCCGGTGATTAAACTCCTTGCCTAAGTGCTTCTACTATACTTATAATGAAAGCCACTATCTTTAAACAATTTTCTAAATTACATTGTTTCTTCCTTCCTTATCCTGCCACAAAGACACTCRATTTTCAATATGCTCTTTTAGAAAGGAAAATTTTAACAATAAGACATATTTTATTATGGAGTTATGCTGTTTAGAATATCATTAAAACATATTCTGGACTTTAAAAATACTGATAATTATGCTGCTTAATTACTGCTGGTTTTCTGTCTTCTTGAAGGATTCAATGATCTGTGAGGGATTATGCCTCCCTCTGAAACAAATACCACTAAATTCGTAGTAACTTCAATCTGATCAAAACATTAGTTGAAAGGAGTAAATTTAAGGCCAGATCTGTTGCAAGGGAAAAAGCCATTTTCAGTCCTCTGAGTACTTTATTAATTGTCTAATGAAAAAACATCRAAGTAGAGATTTTTTCACTGGAGAGCTACATGTCAATAATGCAACTATGAATGGACTGGAATAGCACTTGAARTCTTCTATAATTAGAGACACAGACTCATCTACCATACCACGCTATTCCCAGGAACACCCAGAAAGAAAAATATACCTACAAAGCATATTGTTCCCCCTCCCCTACTTTCTGCCTATGGAGTAGGAAAAGGTGATACTACTGTAGCAACACATAGTAAGGTTATATACGATAATTGCAACAGACTCAGATTGTCAATAGAGGCATAGATTTGATTCATGTCTGCCAAATCATGAGGAAAAAACCGAACACCAGCTGGTGCTGCTTTACCCTTTACACAGACACGGGAAAGATAATTTACAATGTTTACTAACTTATGCAGGCAGTACTGACCTAACCATGGCAATGCACGAGGGAGTCAGGCTTTTGAATCTCTTTAAGAATGACAGCAAAAGCAGGAAAAAAACATTACAAGATCAAATACTATTCTGATAGCTCATGTGCATCCTGTTGATCTGTTACTCCTTATTTTCAGCTTTCAACCAATCCATGGTGCTTGAACAGTTAGCCTGCTGCTTTGCATCATTCAGTGATCACTGCAGTAAACCCTGAGCATCAGATACAACTCTGCAATGACAGGACCCAAGAATCTGGTTATCTGTTAGACTGAATAAAAAGAATGGTTGCACACCTTCAAAAGTTCTTTTAGACTGTTTCCACCTGCTATAGATCAGATTCTTTGGCTGTAGATTAGAAAATGCTGGTGATTTTCATGAGCAGAAACCACTGTTCTCCCAAGTTGTGGAGGGTAACTTGTGACACAAAGCAAAATTTGCTGTGAATATCAAATGTACAGCATAAATAATCCAAACTGCCCTTGCCASTTTGAAAAAGGGAAAAAGATGCAGSTGATGAGTTGATGAACAYGCCAGGAAAACAGCAGRGCCCYTACTGCAAACTTGTGGGTGCTGCAGTGCCCACCAGCAGCACAGGCAGCAGTGCCACTCCACAAGTGACTGGTAGAGTGAGTGCTCTGCCCTGCTCAGGAACTGACCYGAGCTGGTACCCTCCCACAACACAGCGAGGCAGCTGGAAGCAGCTGGGTGATGAGAACTGGRCATACAAGGAGCAAGAAGACAATCCTGGGTGTTTGGAAGTGTAGAACAGAAAGAGGGTGGATCATAGTTTGAGGCAAGATGATGGAGCCATGGTACAATATTCTCTGCAGCTGCCTTTATCCATTAGTGGTGCTACCATCACAATTTAAGATAGCATTTCAGCAGATGCTTCTATAGGTGCGTCAAAAGTGCTGTGGTCAACAGCAACTAAAGTTGGAAAGTGTAAGAAAATGGCAAAAATTGGAATTAATTCTAAAAACAAAAAATCCCACAAAAACAAGAATAACAAACTTGTTTAGGATCTTAACAGTATCTGCTGTAAAATAAATACAGTGTGTGAAGAGATTAACAGTACTGCACTGATTTGAATTTCCCTGACAAGGACTTAGTTTTATGTGTCCTAAATTTAAAAAGCCCTCAATTTTTAAAATTTTCTGAAACAACTTCTCAGACTTTATTCATACCTGTAAATAAATGTTATTCTATCTCCTAAATAATTTTTCATTAATTAACTCCACCACTTACTGAAGAGATGTTAACTTTTTAGGTGCTTTTCTTGCAATTTTTGACAAGACAAATATGTACCCAGAAAAACTGGACCCAGTGTATCACAGYTCATTTTTTAATATTTATACTTTTATTATATTATTTCTATAAATTCAGGTATTTTTACTATAGAGTTGTATAGAAGTGCATCTGCTTGAAATCACTAGGCAATTTTTTAAAACACCATACCACTGACTGCTTTATAATGCTGTTTTTAACAGACTACATCATGATAGGAAACTTCCTATTTGGAATTAATTTCACATTTAAGTAAGAACCTATAAAACTTCAAGTAACTTTCCCCAGGCAGCTGTGTCTTACATACTTGTAACATTTCTGGCCTACCTGAATTGTTCTGGTGCTTGCAATACAACAGCCTCTTCAAATGATTTGTGGATTTATTATGCAATTATAAAGTGACAAGCTTCATTATATTTAARGCTGTATTTTAAAATAATCTATTTCATCAGTCAATTTTTAGTCCATTTAACCACTTAYATTAAAGTCAGTTGCATTACTAATTAAGACTTTCAGTAGCAATACATTTTCACTGAATGTGCAATATTGCATACACAAATCTGACACTTTAATTATACATTTTACAACACAGAATCAACAGTTTATTAAAGGCTGCACACACTAGCCACAGTGCAGAAAGAGGGTATCAGTCATACCATTTTGAATTTTATTGTAACAAAACATTTATTCCAGAGTGGGGGTTTGAATATGAAAATCTTATTTGCTCTTAAAATAGTTTCTGCAAAAAGCCCCMCAACCTGGGTCCTAAAAAACATTCATGCCTATAAATTATATTCATTACTGGAAGAATTTTAATACAGTAGGGCAGCAATTACTTTCAAYGCCTCTTAAAACTTGTACCAAAAAATATGCATTTTCCATAAAATCAAAAAATAAAGTATCTGAAAATGTTCTGTGATAAATCTAGAAAAAGGGGAGGAATCCACTATTAAAAGTTAAATTTTGCTTCACATACACCATTTAAACTGAGACCAATGCATAGCATCTGTACAGCTAACAGAAGAGTTCGACTCCGTCAGCAAGATTAAAATGCAACAGCTATGAAAAGTATGCAAACGGTTTATTTCACAAGTCTCACTTTCTCCTTTAGAACTTTAAATTTGGGATTGTTATTCACTTTCTTATTGAATATGACWAGGATCTCCTCTTCTGTTTTGTGCCGCTCACCAGCTACTGCATAATATTGGGCTATCACCTGCACAAAGACAGAGAAATGGTTTTTAGTTCRTGAAGATGATTCCACCATAAACAATAATACATTTATGTTACTGTATTAAAAGTAGCATGGAATCCATTGTGCTATTATTCCTTGGCAGAACTAGCACTGAATTTCTTGTTTAACTCAGCAAGCAATAAAGAACCTGTTCTTCAGCTGACATTTTGTTGATATTGTTAAATAACATCAAACTCTTTTGTTTATATGAGCCAGAATCCTCTGAACTTCAACATTAGACAAATAAACTCACAGAATCAAAGAATATTTAAAAAAAAAAAAAAACATTTTGTACCATACCTTTTTTCTTAGTTTTTTAATTGAAATTTCATTATCTGGAGCCTGTTTCAGAACAGCTTTGATAGTTCCCTTCCAGTTGAATTTACCTAGAAAATAATTAGGCACACATCATTGGTAAAAGTAGGTATTTCTGGGTCTTCTTCTCTAGTACTAACCAGCCTTCAACCTCCAGTTTTTCGAATCAGTTTGGCTACCACAACAATTGTTACCTTACTGACCCTGCAACTGCAGGGTGTCTTAAGCATAATGTCATATTCAGCTGTGTCTGAATATATAATGGAGCAGAGACAAAGAATCAACACAGTACTTGAACAATGGGGGTCAGAATTGCTTTTATTGAACTTCTGCACTTCAGCTGTTGAGCAGAAACTCTTACATAATTCAGGAATAGTTAAGATCCTGTCTCCTCACACTTAAAGCACAGTCAAATTTAGACCCTACCACCTTCCAGAGGTCATTAATTGGTGGTTTCCAAACAATGGTTTGTATGTTCAAGCACAGTCATTGTGCAGAGCGTGTCAGGTGACAGGCAGACGTGGGTTTATCTAAGCATAAACCAAGGTCCAACACAGCTGAAGTACAATYTATGAGTCACTGAACAAAAATGGGAATATGAGAAATATCAAGAGGTCTRAGTTGTTACCCTTTTTGCTCTGTGCTGGCTAATGTGCATGGCAGCAAGGAAGACACCCACTCTGGTGAAACCAAATTCCTCACTGCCTGCTGGAACCAAGCACAGCCAAAAGTTGCGAGCACAGCAGAAACAACAAATGAGGGAAGTAATTCATCATCAGGTGTTAAGTGTAGCATAGGCTACTTATTCTGGAACAGATGTGTACACATAATATACACAATAATTATTTATTTATAAATAGTGGGACCCGATTTATTTCATGGCGTGCTTCAGAAGCACTGTATTTATATCCCGCATTAGGTCCTTTGCAGAATAGTATTATAACTATCTAAATGGTCCCTTTAGGAATAAATACCTCTCTCTATTCCCACATTTTCTTCGTTGTCATTGATGTTTTCTGTTTCCATGTCTTCTGAAATGCTTTCAGTTTTCATCCTCTTTCTTTTGGTTTGAGGCTCCTCTAGAGATGKAATTGGATAAACATACACAGAAAAGATTTTAAACTAGAAGTTCTGACAGGAATAAAAGTTTCTGTTCTTGTAACATGAGCTTGTATTTACAAAGTGGTTCTTTTTATAAAAGAACTACAAGCACTGTTAAAAWWATCTAATTTGTATATGCAATGCACTACTTWAAAATTCTACTTAGGTAATTATTGAGCTTTGGAATTGAGAAAAAGTTTCTCCAAAACAAACAGGAATATGAGTTGCATGATGGATACCTTCTACATGTTTATGTTTGCGTTTCTTTACGTTTGTTTCCTCTTCTGTTTCACTGTGATTGCCATTTCCATTTATTTCAAAGTCATCYTCCATGCTCTCCTTTCCTTTTTTGGACTTTTTTCTCTTTTTTACATCCATCTGGTTTTCTAATTTCAAATCTTTTTTCTCCCTCTTTTTGTTCTTTTGTCTCTCTTCTTTTCGTTCTCTCTTACTCTTTTTTCTCTCAGTTTTATCATCTGTAACTCCATTTTCTTCTGCCATTGTTTTTTCCCCAGTTTCTGCAGACTGTCGCTCTTCCTTCTGTTGTGGCTTGTCTTGTTCTTTTTCATTTGAAATCTTCGGTTGAAAGACACATAATTACAATTTTGACAAACTTCTTTTGACMTTGTAACTTTCCTCTACTAGACCAATGCTAACTGTTCAAAACACTGATATCCTGAAATCAATGAAATTGCTTACATGGGTGACAACCAGTTGCCTGAGAAATATAGCACTAGTGAAAGTGTGCCTGATTCTTCTTTAAACTTAACAGACTAAATGCTAATTAACACCACAGAAGAAATGTTATCTTACAACATACATAATTTCTAACTGAAGTRTCTATTGTGTTTTCAATTATTTGCTAAATGTAAATAAGGGATTCTCAACTCTTTAATTTACACAAACAAAACTACAGGACATTACAGCAAGATGCAGAACTTATTCCCAAATACAACAACCCTTGAGTAATAATCTATTTTGCCATCCACTTCTCTGTCTTGGATGTGGCGGAGACAATAAACCATTAGTAYATGATGCTAAGAAAGGCACTCCTGGTTATTTTAATTGTACTTTTGTCAACATATTTAGTTTTCTTTTAATGTTCCTGGGCTTATAATTTTTTTGTAGAATAATTATTATATTTATTAAAAATTTAAGGTTTAATTTAAACTTTAACGTTAATAACTGGAGAATAATTTAGTAAGTGGAGTACATTACTGAAATGTGAATATGGCTATTTAGAAAGAAAACAGATCTTTATACAAGCAATTTAACACCAACATATTTTGATAGTTATTTCAATTAAATTTGAATTCTACTTAAGAATTTCCATTGAGTACATACACTTCAAGGTCTGTATTATAAATTGTAYCTTAAGATCTTTTCAAAAATTCTAACACATGAATTGATATGATCTAAGAAAGAAAGCTGTGTTATATATTTTCCTTTAATGCTATGCTCTACGGACAGTGTAATTGCTTAAATTTGGGTTTAAATAAAAGTTTTTCAGATTGRAGACTCTTAAAAATTAGTTTAAGTCAAGAGAGAACTGCTTATGATTTAAGGTGAACTTAGTATTAATGCTCTAGTATTGATAATTAATTAAGTGAACTCAGTATTAATGCTCAAGCAAAACCATGTACTTCAGTGTTCAGAGTTTATGTTACRTTCCTATCCTTTAATAAACGTGTTTCTTTTTTTCCTGGCTCTTATATTTGGAGTCTTCAAAAAAACTGCAAATAAATTTAACTAGAATCATCAAATCAGAAACACAGAGCACTGGGATTAAGGCCAAACCTATGCCTACACTCCTCGAAAGAACGTGGGGCAAAAAGGGGAGAGCATTTTTACATCAAGTGASAAATGAGCTTCTCTGAGAGCTTTCAAGCAACAGCAACAGATGTAAACCAACAAACAAAGCAACAACCCACCAAAACATGCTAAGCTTGTAATGAAATAGCATAGAATTAGGCACTGACAAGAAGGGCCTGAGTGCATCCACAATTTGCACAAAGAAATGGGAGGAACTTGGACCACAAACTGGGGGAGCTCTCTCCCCACTAATAAAATAGGTGAACTATGTGCTGTTAATTTCCCACTCCAATCACATAAATTTGAGGCCAATTATGTACTAAAAGATGTTTTATTCTGTCTTAGTGTACACTAAAAGATTGGAACCAAAGATACAGGTAGTGTATTTTCCTTTCTTTATGCACTACTAGTGTAAATTAGCCTTCTGAATATCATGGCACAATCATGTCACCATGTCCAAGCTTTCAATCACAACCTACCCAGAGTGCACAACTACTTCAGCAACACTTTTGTATTCCCCAAATAAGCAATTTAGTCAAGAAATATTACATTATAATATAATCCACTGGAACTATGTGAGACAATGTTTCTACTAAAATCTGCAAAGGGRGAGTGAAAGGCTTTCCTTCCAGCATTTTGGAATGCATTCCCATTTTATGATGGTGTACGTCCAGTTAAACTTACATTTCTGGTTGCTTCTGAAAAAACATCCCACACCTGATCTTGCAAAGTGCTGTCATTAATTTTCAAACTGTTTTTGATCCAATTCTGTGCAGAGAAAAAACARTAACTGAGAACATGCACCTCTGATTTTCTTTCTTCATTATCATGGATTTGGTTCTTGTTTTTTATTTTTCATTTAAGAATGTAATTACTGCTTCTAACTAAGATCTGGTTAGASGTTATTCATATGAAGCTCTCAGACCTCCTTGCTGAATTGTTTCACATCATGTCTACATACTTTTAGGAGGCTACACCATGTCTCTCAATTGCCTCACCAACAGCCATGCCCAAGTGGCAAATTATACAAAAGATAATCCTCAAGCTTTTAAATAAAACTGATTACGTTAATATCTACAAAATCTGACTGTTCCCATGAGTCAAAACATGAATGATATGATCCTATTTATTTGTGTACTGGATATATGGTCATGCTCCTAAATGGATACTTTTATCACAGCAAAGTAAAATTTAAGCAAATATCTCAATGCAAACATGTCAAAATTGTTTGGGTTATTTCAGGTGTTCCCACAAAAATAAAAATAAAGAAGTAAATTATGCTGTTCATAATATCAGCAACAGAACAACTTTTAGAAATGTGGAATTCAATGTTAAACATAATGTAAAGACTTTTGCATTGCATAAAAATCCCAGGAAAGGTGCATTAGTAAACTGGAATAATGAACTGCAAAAACTTTTCATCTTCCACTACAATGCATCTTATCAAAAAGAGAGGCTTCTTGAAAATACCATTTCTCCTGCTTAGAGCATTAATGCTGTCGGGAAATATTCCAATTTTCAGCTGCCTAGYAGCAATTTCACCACAGCTCTATTGGGTTTTATCTGAGTGCTTTGGAAGCGAGCATGATCTTCTCCCAGCCTCACAGTCTGAGGCACACAATACACAGAGAGAAAAAAAAGGCCAGTTTGCCAGTAATTCTTTACTTTTAATGAAATTCTTTACACATATAAAATTCTTCACATTTGGAATTTACTTCAAGAAGCATGCAGACTGGGAGATTCTGTCACAATACTAATGAATAAGAAAACTCTCAAAACAGCATCTTGCCCTTACCGGGAAAAAACAAAGCCATAGAAATAAGAAATCCTTWAAAGTAAGTCAAAGACTCTGGACATTCAATAGAAACAGCAAATAGTCTAAAAAAGAAGGGTGTTAAAACCAGAACAAACCTACATGGGGACATTAACCTTAAATGGTCTCTGGCTAAATACCTTATTCAACTGGTACACCAACAGTTTTGCTAAGCAAATAAATGTGTTTTACAGCCATTGCCTATTTGAAATCCAGTTATTACAAAATCTATATGAATGCCCAAATAAGTAATTTGTCCTACCTTTGTTAAAAGAAGTGGTACTCCCTAAAAGTCTATTTCTTTTCTCACTGCATAGATTACTGCAAACCTCTGTTAAAACATACCTGAAACTTTACTCTTTTTCTTGGAATGTTATCAAAAGTACGCATTTGCTCCAGGACATTTCGCACTTTAGGGTTTATGTTGGGCTTCTTCATTACTTCATGAATTTTCTGAATGAAGAAAACCAGAATTAGATCAGAAAAGCAGCACAAGGATCAAATRCTACATGCAAGGTGTGCAAGTCAGAAATACACTGGACAGAAATCACCCAGCACCCACAGCTAGTATAGTCTGCTCACAGGGGGTGTTCAAAAAACATGATCTTTGGTTTTATCATAGCTCATTAGGTATATTCAAGTTATCTATATAAACATTTATATCTATGTAGTAAGCAGAGGCAAGCAGGACTGCTCACTACTGCCTTCTGATGTACAAGTTACAAACTGTAATAAAAACATTTCAAACTAAAATAACTGTACCACTGAAAGGATTCTTGCAGCATGAAAAAGACCTGCACTAAGAAAAGCAAGTGATAGATTTTTGCCAATTTCTGGAGTTAATGATGAAAAATCAGGTTTATTTTGATGCTACAGCTGACATGCATTTCTTCWGRCAGCAGTKCCAGCTTCAACAAGCATTAATCCCYATAAGACAGTCTGGATATTCCTGTGCTATGGGTGCCAGCTCGAGAGAATAGAGGAGGTTAGGCCTCATAGCAGTCCCTGGAACAGCACTGCTGCTTCTGGGGGGAAAAAGGCTCTGAGCTTCCCAGTATTTAAAGAGAGTAGCCACTGGACACTGTAGAGCCTTCCTGTACTTCTGAAAATCTGATGACTGCATGGCTTTGTGAATTTGTTAAGACCATCAGAAAAGCATGTTTGGTAATCATCCCTCATCTTTCTATATTAGAAGTACTTACTATTGAGGCAGGCTACCAGCAACAGCACTCACTCCTGATGGTATGAAGCTATTYAGGAGGAAGACTACAAGGAATTCAGAAACATCTTAAAAAAACTAGTGGCTAGGTAATAAAAAAGTGAATTACATTCAACACGAATTCTTGTAAASCAGGAAGCAAAGGAAAAGCAATCCTAATTTAGCATTTAAAATTGCAGACTTTAAGCTSACCATTGGAGCTTACATACAAGATCTCAGGGTTAACATAACCAATCCCATGAAAATGCCACCACAATGATCAGCAGTAGTGAAAAAAACCAAACAAAAAAACCCACCCAAAAATAGCAGATTAACTGACAAAAATCAGTTAGAAAGGAATAAAGGACACAGAAAAAATAAGCATGACACACAGTATACCTATGGTTCCCCCATGTCTTGAACAGCATTTCACCAGCATATAGAAGTGGGAAGACTTTAGAGGACCAATGATATAACTCACACATATATGAAGAACAACTGAGCAGGGTAAGACGTTTGAGCCTTGAACAAAGACTTTAAGATGGGAAGAGACGCCTGACAGAAGTCTACACAAGCATATATGKCCTGAAAAGGATGGACAACTACCAATGTCTCTTTGTATGCAGCTGGGAACATTACATTAAATCAAACCAGTAAGAGATAGACTCAAAACAAACAAAAGACACATTTCAYACCAGGAGAAACTTAGACCTTCCAAGGAAATGGCAGAAGACACACAGGGATACTGTTAAATAGATCTCTGGTTTGAGCCAGTATAGCCTCTTCTGTGTCTTAAATGATTACAGACAATAGTTACTGTAGGTGTACACAGTACAAACTGTACCTGAATCCACTCCTGCTGTTTAGCATCTCCTTTGTTAATTTTGGCTTCAAAACCTTTTCCACCGTATTTCTGGTCTTCACTTACACATCTCACGTGTTCCTTATAGTCATCACCCCTGAACATAAGAGATTTTTAATCACAGGTCACTGAAGTGCTCCAGTCTTCAAACTGCAACACTTAGCTAATTGAGAAACTGAATCAACAGATGATTTAAATGAATGGATCATTTAAACCTTCTTACTGTCAAGGCTTAAATGAGCAAAATCTGATGTGTTCAAAGTACATGCTTGCAAGACCACAGACATTTCTGTCCTGCTACAAGTTTTAGTGAAAATTTCTGACTTGCAAGTCTTGTATTTATGACAACTCCTGCAGAGTTARCAACACTACTTCCCATCCTTTACGTACCAGAAATCCTTGCCACAATCCATGCAAGACAGGCACTGACAGTTTCTGCAGATGTTCACGTGCTTTTCAACCTGTGCTTTCTTCACAGCTTCTCCACACGCATTGCATGTGAAAACTACCATGTTGCCGAGTGGTTAGGAGCTTCCTCCTTCCCACAGAACTGCAACTCTAGAAATACAAGAAGGAAATCTTAATCTACAGCTTGAAASAAACGTTTGGAGAGCCGAAAAGAAACGCACCTGTGTACCGACCGACAGCCAGGGCAAGCAGCCCGATCCCGCACATGCAAGAGCTCGTATCACCGGATCCTGAGCGCAGGGGAGATCGCTAYCCCGGGAAGCAGCAATCCCTGCACTCGCCACCCCAGCAGGGAACCGGTAACCCCCAACCGAGGAACCGGTAACCCCCGTACCCATCTCCCCAGCGGGAGAACCAGTAACCCCTGTACCCGCCACCCCAGCCGGGGAACCAGTAACCCGCGTACCCATCACGCGAACCGAGAAACCCCAACCCCGGAACCGCTAACCCCGGTACCGCCCCCACGCCTATCCGGCGTTCCCCGTCCCCGTCCCCCTCCCTTCCCTGTGGGACCCCCGCCGCTCCGTCCCGCTCCCCGCAGCTGCAGACGGGTTTCGGCCGGGCCCAGCGGAGCGGCAGCGGGTAGTCCGGTGTGCGTCCAGGCAACTGTGCCGTACCCTGCCACGCCGCCTCGTCCCCCTCCCGTCCCCCTCCCGTCCCCCTCCCGTCCCCATTCCCGGCCCCTCTCCCGGCCCCGCTCCCGACCCCGCTCCCGATCCCGATCCCGCTGCCCCGCACCTCAGTGGCCGCCGCCGCCGCCGCCGCCGCCTCCCGCCGCCCGCGCGGCACGTGCCGCACCGTGCCCGCCGCGCCTCACGGCCGCGCGCCTGCGCAGCCCCGCCCCGCAGCGGAACGGGAAGGGGAGGGCAAGGGAGGGGACGGCGGCGGAAGCGGCTGCTGGCAGGGATGGAGCTGGGAGGTGTCCGGAGCCGGTAAGCGCTGGGCTGGGCTGGGCTGGGCACGGGAGGGTTGGCTCCTGCCCCTCGGCCGCTGTCCCGCCCGTGCCGCGTTCTCCCCGCCCGGGGCTGTGTGTCCGTGCGCTCCCTCCCTCAGCCCCGGCCCCCGCGGTTCGCGGTTCGCAGCCCGCTACCGGCCCTGGTCCCCGGACAGAGCCCGCCCCGGAATGAGGCAGACCCTCCTTCTGTCCCCTTCTGCGTGGGCTCCATCTGGGCCAGCCTGAGGGGAGCTTTACCATCAATAGCGGCTGTGTTAGAGGGGTTCCCTCTGTTCGGGAGCGGCTCTCCCCGGTCCCGTGAGGAGACGCGCCTGAAGGATGAGAGGCAATTCACTCGCTGTCAAAGTAATTGCAGGATGCCGTGGTGAGAGAGACGTTCACAGAGAAAGCATTTACCTGGCAAATTGATGAGCTTTCTTAATTTCAAAGCCTRGGCAAATCATGATAAACATCAGTAGAGAAAAGGCACAATATAATAGCCCCCATGTAATACATCAGGAGGCAGTGAATTACAGAGTAAACCAGGATACATTAAAATGTGGAACCGTTATCATTCATGAGATTTGGGAATGGGGCAACCACTTTGTGCTCATGCTTAACACGAGGTGGTTTTTCTCTTTCATTTCTTAGAATATGAAAGTTTTCCTCCTTTATTCCTAGTTAGAAAACGAGAAGTTCTGATTGTCCTGATAGTTGAAATTGTCATGTTTACAAGTGTGCAGGGGAAATGTTGCATCTTTGTAAAAAAGTTTTTTTTTAAAAGTACAGAATTGAATGTAAATGTGTTCTGTGAGAATGTGACTTGTCTTTTCAACCTCCTTTTCAGAGGAGATTTTTTAAATTTAGATATTAAAAATAATACTGTGCTAACTTGTCTAATTAATCAGATTATACATAGGAAATATACATAGCTAGAACACCAACAAATACATMTTAAATGATACTGGTACTGTGTTCTCCCATTTGAGTTGAGAGGCTGAAGAAACTGTGGTTTTCTTCTACAAATGCTGTGGATTTTGTGTATGTGATATGTTTTTGCATTAGAATATTAGCGTTGGGGAAGTTGTTTCAATTGGGGTACATTTTTATGTGGTTATGGAGTTCCATTTATTAAGCTCCATATTTATTGGGAGCACCATTAGATTTTTTTCAGAAGCTCTTTGTTGTAGGCAAAGCTCCTTAAAATCAGTATTTCCTATGTATATTGCTGTGTATCTACTGGGGAGCAACACTGTGACTCATCTTTAAACAGAAAAATATCATTAGAGCTCACTGTTTCCTTCGAAAGCTAAAACAGATTGTAAGCATGTTCTTAATATTTTACATTAATTTTGCAATTTAATATTCACCTTAGCATTTTATTTCATTGTAGGTAATTTAAGTGATTTTCTAGCATGGACACTGTTGCTAGCCATAGCTGTCATCTTCTCCAGCAGCTACATGMACAGCGTATTCAGGGGCTTCTCTGTGACTGCATGCTGGTGGTGAAAGGAGTCTGCTTCAAAGCACACAAAAATGTATTAGCTGCTTTCAGTCAATATTTCAGGTATGTGACAGAAAATTCTGCTCTTTAAAAAGTTAACTAAATGCTCTTGGCTGAGGTTTCATCTGAGAATGGTATTTTTTTCTGGTGGTTGCAGGCTAAATAACTCTTGGCAGTATAAGGAAGAAGGGGAAATTGTTTGTCCAGAGMTAAAGCTGTGTCAAGTATTCATAGTATGCTCTTTGATTTTGACATTTCCTTGATTTACTTACTTACACTACCTCATATGATGGATTCTGGTGTGGACCTGCATTCAATATTTCACTAGGAAAAGATAACTGCTTACAAGGAACACAGTTGAGTATATTAACAGAGCCAGATAAGGAATATAATTGATGAAGTGTTACCCACTTCTGAATAGTGGGATTGTTTCATCAATTATATTAAAAATAAAATTTAACTATATAGGTTATTGTTGAATCTCTACATATTCAGATTCTCAGATACAATTGTTTTTGAAAGTATACAAGTAGCCCATTTCACCACGACTGGTTTCTTTCCCTTCTGTACTGCACTCTRTTGTGCCTCCAAATTTTGAGTGGTGCTGGATCTCCCAACACAGTGTCTTACTTTAATTATGAGTAAGCTGTTAGATCTGGCAGTTTTTAGACCTTGTTTTTTGAAACATCTCTAAAGCTTGACTACTAATTTGTTTGTAAGAAAACTATTTTTATGTTATGACCAGGGAAAAAAGGTAAAAGGTTCCTTTTTCTCCTCTAGTGGTGTAGTACTGCTGATGAAGTGCAATTATGCTCAAATAGTTTTTTTAAACTACATAAAAAATTTGGTAAGTGCTCAACTCTTACTAAAATTCAATACGATGTAAGTGGCTAATTAATTTAGACTCTCAGCCCAGATCTGTTCATTGTAGTTCTGGCTTTAACTTGGATAGGGTGGTCTAAATTTATGGACACTGGCTTAAGAGTATCCCCTGCATTTCTAAGTTTCAGCCTAGACTCACATTTTCTTAAGATTTAAAGCTTATTGATATTATGCCCACCTTTTAAACACAACCAGATTTGAGATTTAGCCCGCAAAGAGGAACCATCAAGTTTAGGTATTTCCTAGTGTAGGAAGATAACTGGATATGAGTGACTTGACCCCATTTATATATTATTTACTGTGGAACTATCAGGATTTTAATTGGAAGGGTAGAAAGTTGACTGAAAGCCCACTCAATCTAGGACTGGTTGTGCATGTGAAGGACACCATCTCTGATGCTGAGAATACGTCAAATAGTAAGAAGTTTTGTGAATTCATTATMTTTAAGGATTCAATGACAATTGAGTGAATATTGATTGCACTGTTGTTTTAGGATTATGTACCTGTACTCTTCGTTATTCTTTTACTTGGTTCTCATCCAGTACCAGTTAAAAAAAAGTACCTTTTTAATAAGGGAGAACGAATTGAAAATAATGTCATCTTCTTGTTTAACATTACCATCYTCCTGTGTATTTATGGAGAAAGGACTAAGAACTTCAATAAGGTTTACTGACAGACAAATTCAGTTGCCAGAGGACAATAGTTTAGCTGACTTTGAGGTTTGTGTTCTCCATTTTGCTAGAAAATTTCTCATGTCCTGCCCTGTTTGCCATAATTAAAGGAGAAAAACCATTCTGAGTTAACTGATTGTGCAAATTGTCCATAAATTGACCACACCTAATGTGTGAAGAACAGTAAAAAAAACACAAGGATAGGGTGTTATTTGAAAACATTAAARATTACAGAATTAAAGTTAGGTAAAGCATCATTTGCTTTGATTTATACTTCAAGTGCACTAGTGTGGGACTAATATACAAGAAAAGTAGTTGAGCAGTTTGGAGAAATGCATCTTCAAAACCACAGCAATCTGTGTAAGGCCTTAGAATACAAACTGTTGTTTCATACCAGACAGCCTATTTGAGATGTATGTATATTTTTCTTATTGAAGCGTTTGTGAATTATTTGTTTTTGAATATTTGCCTTATTTTATCAGGACCCTTTTCCAGAATTCTTCRGGCCAGAAGAATGATGTGTTTCACTTGGACATTAAAAATGTAGGTGGTATAGGCCAGATCCTGGACTTCATGTACACCTCTCACCTGGATCTTAGTCAGGACAATGTACAAGCTATGCTGGACATTGCCCAGTGTCTCCAAGTGCAAAATGTGCTGAACATYTGCCATACCTTTTTAAAATCTTCCACAGCTGTGGAGCAAGCRGCCAGCATGCCTTGTAATAGTGTCTTTTCACTGCAGAATACTTTGGGTACGGATACCAACTGTGCTAGTGAGGGCTATGGGACAAACCTGCTGCCTGAATGCTCAGCTGACACACAAACTAGCAAAGCCTTGGCTGAGCAGCACTCACATGCATCTCAGTCTGGTAATCTGCACACCCCCTCTGGTGATGCACAGAAACAGCCACAAGACTCCTTAGAGGGCAACTGCACGGAGCTGCCATTTAAACAACCAAATTACTATTATAAACTCCGCAACTTTTACAGCAAACAGTTCTATAAACAAAAYGCTTGCTCTGATCATGACAGAGCAGCTGAACCATCCTTTTCTTACAACTCATCCACAGAAATAAACACAGTGGAGAAYAATTCTTGCACTGTCAATCACTCTGAGTGCATTCTGGAAACCTCTGATCATTTACCGTCAAACTTTCTGGTTCAGTCTGCGAATGAAGCTGCTCCAGAACAAGATGCAGAGAGCACAGTTATGCAGCCCACCAGACAGATGCGGCTCAAAAAGGCAATACACCTCAAAAAGTTAAATTTTCTAAGATCTCAGAAATCAGCAGAGCAGCCACCTGAGCCCCAAAGAGATGACAGTAGAATAACAGAAGTAATGGAACCTGTAAATGAAAGTACCACGGACACGACAGATGTTAGAGTTACTGATGAAAARGAGGCTGAAGATTTAGGGAATTCTGAGAATTTTGAACAAACTGTTGAAATGGAAAGATCTGAAGATCCTTCGGAACAAGAAGGACAATCACAGACTCTTCAGTCACAGAAACAATATACTTGTGAGTTATGTGGGAAGGCTTTCAAACATCCAAGCAATTTGGAGCTGCATAAAAGGTCTCATACAGGTACAGTTATCAGTTACTTGGTCTGCAGACCAAATATTTCAATTACAGAGAGTATCTCGCAGTGTCTCTTGATTCAGAGATGCTGGTTAAGTTTAAACCTTTCAAAAGGTTGTGGTTTGGGTTTTTTTTTTCAATGGAAAATTCTGCAGTAATAAAGAACTGTAGTACTGAGTTTTGCTGGGAGTTGTAGAAAATATTTCTCCTATGTATTTGGCTTTTTGGGTGCTTTTTCAAAGAACATTGTGTGAAAATGAAATTTCAATGGAGTTTTGGTTTTGTCCTGCATTTACATGTCAGTTTGTCAGGTGGCCCAAATGTTTGATCCAGATAACAGTAAAAAGTGTAAATGAATAAATGGTATTATAAGTATACTAGAACACCTCTGTTCTCTCTGATCGTGTATTATTTGTAAGACAAATTTATTATTTACAAGTGATTGGGGCTTGGTGGTAATTTTTTTTAACCTGTACCAATATACTTTATAACAACTTTAATTGTGTTTACCTAGAGAGTAAGGCTCTTGCAGAGTAAATGGGAATTTTGAATTAATGTACTTTATTTTAAAAACTCATAGGTAATATTTTTAAGCCTAACATAGATTTATTTCTAAGGTTCTTTTTATTCTAGTGATAAACAAGACCTGTTATAACTTCAAATTAATTAATTTGTCTGTTCAGTTTAACCAGTATGTCCTATTATTAGATATGCTTTTTCTGAAGAGTTTYTAAGAATTATCTTAGCTAGGCAGGTAACACCATTGATTCAAAGTCCATGAGATGGTGTTACTCCTGATTAAGCTGTTGAATATTTTTTACTTTTCTTTTTCCCTGTATTAAATATACAAATGCATCTCTCTCAATCTTGTCAAATAAACATGACTTTGGAAATGATCACACATGTATTGGTACTTTGATACTAAATATGAAACYCTTTTAGCAGACATTATTTTGTTAACTTATCCTTAGAATGAAAAGTTTATTTTTGCATGTTGTTCATAGAAAAATCTTCCCTGAAACTGAAAATATGAAAATTTTTATTAACTTCCTAAAGTTTTCAATTGTTAGCTTTAACGGCTTCTGTATATTCATATTTCTAATRCTGTTTTTTAACTTGTTCTGCTGTGAGAGAGTTGCATGTGTCTCTTATGTAGATACTCTCTTTGCCTTTTTTTTTATTTTTGAATCTTACTATCTGGTTTGAGCTGGTATAATTAGATATGTTTTAATATCCTAGATTTTCAGGAAAAGAGGCGATCAGATAGAGCATCTAGAAAAATCCTAGTTGAGGGAGAGACTGCAGTAATGTGTGAGTTTGTGCTAGAGAGACTCCTGTTTTCAGGAACTCTGTACTGTTTTTCATACACCAGCTTCTTCAGGTAGTTTTCAAAAATTCCACACTTGAATGCTAGTTAATGTGGCATTAGTATTCTTCTTTGGTTGTGTTAAGAAGACAAAAGTGTAAGAGTCTAAGTTTAACGAATGATAAGCACATCAAAGGATGGAAAAAGTGAGGCAAGGCTATGRCTAGAAGTGCCTGTTTGCTTCCCTGTTATTTTTGGGAATTATTCCTTTTTGCTTCCCTGTTATTACTGTTAATTTATTTTTAAATATCCAATTAGTGCAAAAAGAGCATTTCGGAAATTGCAGGATAGTGAGTGGGATGATAATATTGGAAAGATCTACAGCAGAAGGTACAGGGCACATCTGTATTGTTAATGTTGGATACACTGGTAGTTAAGTAATGTAAGTATATGCTAAAAGCCATTTCTATTCATCTGCCATTTCACAAAGCACAGCAGATTACTAACTAATCAGTTTTATTTAAAAACATACATTTTCTAGAGCTAAGCAAAAGGGTTAGCARGCATGTAATTATTACAGTGCTTACTGAAAGTCCTCCCAAAGTGGCTTTACTGAAGAGATGAAGGAAGCTGAAATGGACATGTGACAGTGGCAAACCTGTTTTTAACCCAAAAACGACGATGCTTTCAACAAGTGCTGTGGTGGCCYAGTTGCCAAGAAGCAGCAAATGTGAAATTCTCTGTCCCTGAACACTAGGAACTACTAAAGAATGTACAGGTTAGCAAGGGTGCATAGATGAGTTTTCAATGTGAAGGCAGCAGACTGTGTTCAACAGTCATTGTACTGGCATGTCTGGCTGCTTTAATTGTATTGTTAGTGGAACTTCAAGGAATCTAAACAGAGTTAACTGTATTGACTTTGATTGATTTTGACTGAATGTTATAATTTGTTCTTTATTATGTTGACATGTCTGAAAAAAGAAAGCAAGTATATCTTTTATATAGTCCATACCTGTCCAGGAGCATCCAGCAGTTTTGTTGAGGTATTTTATGTATTTTCAAGGAACATCTCAAAGAACAACAAAACAAATCCAGGCCAATGGAAAGCACTCTTGGCAGCATGGAATGCAGCAGGAGCAGAGTAGCACTGCCATGTAAWACATTGTTGATCCTCAGCCTTTTCATTCTGACCTTTGCTTGRGCAACCTGTAGCATTCCATGCCTTAGAGAGTACAGCTCCTCACCTTTGTGATCCCTTCAGGAATACCACTTCTGCCTTCATGCCTTTCTCCTCTGGAAATGACACAGCACTGGTTTGGTTCAATAATAACCTATATTGTATACTTTATCTTCACCTCTTGCAGAATGTTGAACAAGGAAGATACAATGGAAGATAGAAAACACAAGGCAGTCCAAGAGTTCAAAAGTAAAGTTCCCTGGATGTTAGTTTRAGCATTGTCTAAACTGTATTCAGTTACTATCTTTCCCCAGTTTTTCTCTGTTTCTGTTGATCCAGCCATGGTTCCCACTACTGTGTACTTTTTCTTCATGTATTCTTGCGGAATGTTGGAAAAGGATACAATCCTGGTGTTCTCAGATAAGGTTTTTTGTTTAGRATTTATAGACAATTGTAGAAKCATAGAATAATTYASATTAGAATGGAACTCCTGAGGTAATCTACTCCAGTCTCCTGCTCCAGGAGCATCGACTTAAATTGGGTTGGTTTGCTCTTGACCTTGTGCATTCAAAATTTTGGACATTTCTTAGGACAGTTTCCACAACCTCTCCAGGCTAACACTCCCAGTGTCTGTCCACCCTCGTGGGGTAAAAGATTATTTTCATGTATCTGTTCAGAATCTCTCATGATCAAACCTGCATCTATCACCTCTTGTCCTAAGACTGTGTACCAGGAACAATCTGCTTGCATCTGCCTTCCCAAGTCTGTAGACAGCAGTAAGATTTCCCATTTGCCTTCTTTTCTCAAGGCTCCAGGTGTCACCAGTGATAGGCAGAGAAGAATAATCCATCTTATTAGCTGCACTTTTCCTGATTTACCCTAGGGTACACTGAGCCTAATTGTTTCACTGTAATAGTTTACTTGATAAGCCCAGTGGTTTGGAATTCTATGCAAGTGCAAAATTGTTCTCCGAAAACGCATTATCGAATTTTCGAAAAAAAAAAACCAACCAACTTTTGTTTTCTCTTTATCTTGGGGTAAAAACCTCAAATTCTTGGTACATCGGTACAATTATAATGAGGCTGCATGCAGCCTACAATAATAGTTTTGAGAAATTTGAGCCTCCAATTTCTTCCCTCTCCCTCTAGTCATTTCAAAGTGAATTCCTGTTCAGATACTATTCTTTAGTCTACATAAATTGTTTTTGGTATAGGTAATTCCTGCAAAGACTGGTTACTAGTTTGTTTTTTTTTCCCTCCATTTCATGTTATCTTGATGCGTCTATGGTTTTCAGAATCTTTCTGAGTTGCTACAGATCTGTCTCCCTGTTGTTTCATTTATATTTTTGTTGTCACTATCAGAATTTTTAGTGTTTTACAAGTTTAAAGCCATAATGAAAGTAAGCCTCAGTGCTCTTTATAGTTGAGTTACTTTATAGTTGATTTACTGGTTTCATAATTTTTATTTTTAATTGAAGAAAAGCTTTTTAAAAACTGCCAAAGGATTTCCATTCTTCATTAAGTAGACAAGGTAGATGAAGTCTCAAGTTGTCAAACTAACTGCAAAGTTGCAGTCTGTGAAGCAACATAACTGTAGGTTAGTCTGTGTTTTAAAATCTTAAGGAGAATTGCATTTAGTCCTTGATCCTAAAATATGTTGAAGAATGTCATCTGTATTTGGCAGGCGGAAAGGAAAATGGAACTTCCACATCTGGATATGGTAGATGTTGCTTGTAACGCTTCAAAGATGGAGAAGTAATATTGATGTAGAGAATACTTGCTGGAAGAGAAGCCAAGAAGTGTTCTGTAAAGTCAGGAAAACTATAATTAAAGAAGTAAATAAAAATCTTTAGACAGTTTTTTTAATCATGACCAAGATGAAAAACARTGTTAAGATCTCTTTTTCCTTCTGGAAATACTCTGTTTTCAAAATAACATGGATTTAGACTGATTTTAGTGCTCTGTACCTGTGTGGCAGATTATGAATGTCCTTTAAACTTGCAGTTAGACTYATGAAAGATAGTAAGTGCAACTGTCATTGAATCCATGGTATCTGAGCATCATTTTTATTTTCAAACTTCTAAAAGATGCACATAAAATTTTATCAACAATGTAAAAACTAGGAAACCAAGAACTAAGCAGGGGAAAAAAAAACACCTTTATGAAATACTGTAGAGGAGAAAAAGTTATTACAAAAATGTATTTGTCTTAAATTGATAGTGAGAGAATTGAATTGTTGTGCAATCATTTTCTAGATTGAGAATCAAGTTATTTTAAAMGGCTAAAGTGGGCTGCACCAGCTTTTACTAAAGCTACTAATCTGTTTGAAGATTCCAGAATAACAGTTTTATGTGTATAACTTTTTGGAGCAAAATGCTTGGTTTAATCTTCAGATGCTTTCATATTGAGAGCATTTTTTACATTGATGAGAATTTGAAAGCAAGTATATATTTTCTGGAAGTGAATGGCTATGTGCTGAGCAGAGATGCATGGTAGACACTGAAAATTGAAATCAGAAAACACAATTCTTCCAAATTAGCTTCTCTTCATTCCTCCTTCTTTTTAACAACGTGTCTCTGTGCAAGTGAAAAAACAGGAGCACTTCCCATGGCTGTTGTTGGACCTTGTAATCTATTCTGTTCTTTCTGGTGATATGATACCCCTTTCATTTGGAAATAGAAGTATTTAAAAAAAATTAAACCCTCACCCTTTTATATCAAAACTCTTCTACATATTTTGAAAGATAAATTCTGTTTCTGAGCAAGTCTGCCTTACAAACTTAGTGGTAAATGCTGTACTTCCCTCTTGAATTCCCCTTAAATACATAGGTAAGTGTCCTTTTGGGGCTATTTTTTACTCTTACATTATGTGTTTTAAAAGGAAGTGTATACCAATTTTAATTATTTCTGTTCTACTGCAACTATTAGAAGTTCTATGTTCTGTTTCTTTTAGGTGAGAAACCTTTTGAATGTAACATTTGTGGGAAACACTTCTCACAGGTGGGAATATTTTATATATTATGGTACTTATTACACTTGAAATGCATCTCTGTTGATTCTAAAATGGGTTTAAGATTTTTTTTTGTTCAAAGACAGACTTCACTTTAGGGATAAATTATTAAAATGTCTTATTTGAAAATAACATGTTTCATGGTTTAGATTTCTTTGATGCATTCTGTGTCTTAGATTCTGTCTGCTTTCAGTAGATATGCTCTGTATTTTACCTTCAAATGAATGYTTAACTATACTGAGCCACAACTGTATTTGAAATACTGAGAACATTCATTTCCAAACTGTTCTTTTGCTGTATACTTAGGGATGTGTTGTGAATAGCATTGTTTACAGTGTCTGAAAAAAGTGCAGGTTCTAGTTTTATATAATGTTATATTCACAGTAGTTTCTTGTTCCTAAATGGCATAAATTATTAAGTAGTTTTGAGTCAGATATCCATGTAATTGGGCTCAGTTTCTTCCAGTGACAAAACTCAGCTAAAAAACTTCTTGTGRAATTTCATGCTTACATACAGAGCCTAAGCTTTAGCTGCTAATTTGCCCTCCAGTGCTTGCTTCCTGTTCTGGGTGCAACAATTAATTTGCATTTYTACAAATTTGGCTCCTAGTTGTCTCACATTTCCAAAATGTCTGTTTCTTTTCTGATTTCGTACTTGAAATGTGCAGTTCTTCGTACAGCAGACAATAAATAGGTGCATATTTTTATACTGAGATTAGATAATGATTGTCAAATAGCTTTGGCATTTCTAATGGCTCCTGGTCTAAGAAGTAGAGTTTTCATGCTCTTTGCCCACCCACCACTGGTTGTACTTCCCCTGCTTCAGTTTCACAGCCAGTGGGATTTGTTTCACCCATGAATCTGAGGCCTTTGTGCYCTCCACCTTGTTGCTAAATATACATATAAGACTGTTTTCAGTGAACAGTACTGTTTTATCATGCTTATTGAGCAATTTTCAGCCAAAYTGGGTCTGCTTTTTAGGCAAAGAACAGCACTTTCATTCATTTTGATGGCTGAACTTCTAGTTTTTGAAAGAAATACATGGATAGTTCCAAATTAAAAGTACTTTTGGCAGAGAAAATGGTATTCTGTCCCACAACAGTTGGGGAAGAAGGGGGAAGTGTCACACATTCAGAGTGTTACGACAGGCATGACAGAATCCTGATGTAACACACTTTGCTCCTCCTTAATTACACAATCAAACAAAGCTGGAAGTTTCTGCCTTTTAATTAAATACTCCCAAACTCAAATATCTGTGTTACCTCACTTGCCTGAAGGTAGAGGTAGATACAGATTGCTGGACAATCCCTACAYGTCCAGCCCATGAGCCAGGGCATTCAGCCTCTGTGCTGCAGTTCTTTCTCTGGTCGTAAARGGGTCTTGCATAATTCTGAGCTACTTGCTTTTGAATCCTGCAGGTAAGATTCCACCTACCAGAAAGTAAGATGCAAGGATGATTACTTTTGCTTAAAATAATTATCCTTTGCAAGGATAATTACTACTTTTTGCTTAAAATACCATCTCTGATCTTGTCCTTTATCTTCTCCATCTGCAGGCAGATACAGAAATAGAAACACTTTTCTTATTTAAACCTTCATGTTCTGTGCTTTTGAGACAGTTGTGCTTGGTGGGATGTCTGCTCCTGCTGAATGTAGCTGATGTGCTGTGTGTTGGAATGTGCAGCAGAAAATGAAGGAAGTAGGGGAAATTGACATTGGAACTCAGAGCTGAGAGGAAACAGCTACAAATGTCTTTGATTTTTGAAGGAAGACATTCCTTTTTTACTTCCATGCCTACATCTTCCCTTACTGCTTGTACACAGCTATATGATGTGAACTCTAGCTGGTGATCCAGGATATTGTGTTTTGCCTCCTTCTGCAGAACTTCTTTTGGGGGCCTGTATGCATAAGTCCCTTTATTTTGAAAGCTAGCCATTTAAAAAAGGGCTGAATCTGGCATATCTCTCTGGTCTGCAAATTTGTGAGGAGTTCTATGCAACCATAAAGAGGATTCTTCTGTGCATTTTTTTCTTGCACTGAAATGCAAGTCAAAGACCCCTTAGGTTTTTTTTCATTGGGATGGGATGTGATGCTTTAGCCAAGATTGTGTGCCAGCTTTAAAGCTTAAGAAAGAGTACAAGCTAATGATGTTTTTACCCTTTTTTTGTTTTAGCACAGTTACTAACAAGCTTTGCCCTCATTAGGARGAAATKACATAGCCTTGTAATAAAGAAATGRTTCTACTKGCTGYTTTYTGTAAAATGCTTTTATTCTTACTTRAAATGCCTTTATGGGAACTATTTTAAAATTGCACTTCAAATTCACCCTCTATCTTTATTTGGAATAATTTTAAAATGCCCATGATAGGGTTTGTTTCTGACATGGATAGAAGTAAAGGTTCTGTCTGTTTTCTGTGTGTTTTTCTCGAATGCACTCTGCGTGAAATCCCTTGTCTTTGAAAAGCAAAAATTATTCCATGGTTCATCTTCTTCTTCCCCCCAAATAAGTACCTAATGCCTCTCTTTGAGTGGATTTCAATATTAGAAAGTTTGGCCTTAGAAAACAGTGGTTCAGTCACACTGTTGTCTGGAAAAATGTGCAGGGGTTAAAGGGAGCTCTCTCAGGGTTCAAACATTGATCCAGTTGATAGTGTCCTCTGTTTGTGTGTGCCTGCAACACTTGAGTTCTGGTCTATTATAAGGTCTGATTACAGTGATGAATCATCACAGGCCCTTTATTACCTAAATGACTCAGAAGAAATTACTCTGGGTCTTATTTTTGTTGTCTTACTGTGACTGATGGGGACATGATAATCTTTGCATCCCAACTTTTCTTTCCTGATATAAAGGACTTTAATGCTTCCTTAGTGCACTTAAATAAAAACAGGTGGCTATCAATAAAAGGGAGTGGAAGGGTTAAAAACTGACCATGGAAGTACTCACAATATATGGAAAGAATATAGCTTTTCTGCAAAGTATGTGTTGTGCTTTGGGAACTGAACYCAGTGGAGTAACCATTGAGTGGCTTTAAAACATTTTTTTAAAAAGTTAGACTCTGTAAGAAGGTTTTATCTAGTCATTGTCTGGCTTGCCTGCTAGACTAGCATGATTTTCATAGCATTAAGAGAGGAAATATTAGTAACATAGTAGTTACCAACCATCCCATTCGTTCATTTCTGTACTTCCTCTTCTATTTTGGTATGAATAAATAATTTCAAGTTTGGAGCATTTGAGTATTTTATGGATTGAAACATGTTCACCCGATTCTTTTTAACCACCTGGCAGGTGAATTCAGACACCTTTGTGTAACAATATTTTATTTGTAGGACAGGGAAAGTGAGACTAACATGAACCATGTTGCTAGTAAGTTAGTAAGTTTTCTTTTTCACTGCATTCCAGATAGTGTAATTTTCATTTATAATTGGATCTGTTTTCAACAACAGGTCTTTCTTTTCCCTTAGCATTTAATTTCAGGCTGCTTCTTTTTACTTTTTTTCCTATTTCTGTTCTTGTCAATGTTTAATTGTATACGTAAACAATTTGATGTTGAAGTACATGGTCGTCTGTCTTTACTAGATAAGAATGCTTAAGTTCACACATGCTTTGTAGTCTTCACTGCCTTAGGAGTAGGAATAAAAAGCCAGTCTCATAGTTCSCATCATTGTTTGTTTCAGTCTGTATACAACAACAGGCTAGCTGAATTTAARTATTTAAATTACTGTCCCTTCAGGCAGGTAATCTCCAGACACATTTACGTCGTCATTCTGGTGAGAAGCCATACATTTGTGAAATCTGTGGGAAAAGGTGAGTAGAATTGTTCATTTTAGTAAAGTTAACATGAAAAAAATTGTTCATGTTTTACACTAAACTAAGGGCCAAGAGCTGCCCGGTTTTGTTTGGAAGATGCTGGGTTTAAAAGTGTGCTGATGGGATTAAAATGTATAAATTCTGCAACTGACTTGTTGTAAGATAATCATGTCACCAGAGCTTGTGGTCTGAATGTTTTGTATATTGGTATGTAGTTTAGAATATCCTGTTGTGTGTATTTTGAGCAGTATGAGTTACAGTAAATCATGCAGGTTGTACCTTTTTCTCTGCTTTTTTCATTATTTGGTGATTTTTTTTTTTACTTTTTATGGAATTCTGAAGTATGGGACATTTGACAAATTTAAACAAAGCATCAAATAATTCTGGTTTCTGTTAGCTAACAGGTGACAGAAAATGCCCTCATGCAGGAGTAGCATAAAATACAGAATGAATTAGTAACATTAATGGTGAAAATCGTTTTGGAGGGTTTTTTCTAGCATATATTCAATCAGACATCAGTTTTAAAAAWGCTTTTCTTCACTGCATCCATTTATCTGTGTATTAGGTCTTTGTTCAGTAGAGCAGGCATTCATTAAAGCAAATTTCCACATGATACTCAGTTTAGAGAAATAAGGGCCTTATAAAGGCACTAACTGGGTTTGTGTGTTSTGTTACAGATTTGCTGCTTCTGGTGATGTACAGCGTCATATTATTATTCATTCAGGAGAAAAACCTCACCTGTGTGATATCTGTGGCAGAGGTGTGTAAGAGCCAAAGTTTCTGCCTCGGGTTTTTTTGACCAAAATGTGAGGAGTCATTTTTAATCTCAGTGTCTGTCACATTTTTCTAGGTTTCAGTAACTTCAGTAATTTAAAGGAGCACAAAAAGACCCATACAGCAGACAAAGTATTCACCTGCGACGAATGTGGGAAGTCGTTTAATATGCAACGAAAATTGGTRAAGCACAGAATAAGGCACACTGGAGAGAGACCATACAGCTGTTCAGCTTGTGGTAAGATTCACTGGGCWTTGCTTGGTTGTGTCTTTGCTTTTCAAATGATAAGTTGAAGTTCCTTTGTCAGCAGAATAACAATTAACCAAAATTATTTTAAATTGAAATACCATGTTGTGAAAGGTAGTCACAAAATCTTCTGTCTTGCTTGCTTCATAGTCTTTAATTTCATGTAATACTCCTTTATTCTCATAAGTGTAAAAGAGAATTTCAGTTGAAAATTAGAGAAAGGAAGTAAGAGGAATCAGCATTGTATATGTATGTGTTCACTAAAGAGCTTCTGATAGTAGTTGCTTCAAAAATAGATTTATTTTCAGAATAGTCCTTTCTGATGGAAAGTTAAGTTTGACATTGTTTGGCTATTGACGGGGTCTTTTTTTTTCCCAATTGCATACTATTTGATTTTAAGTGTATTCACCCATGGAGGTTGATAATAACAATCTTTTGTTACTTTACTTTACACTCTGGAATATCATCAAAACTCGGTCAAACTCTTTCATACCAGAGAACACTCATTTTCAAAATTTGTTAAATAGGCCATTCTTCCAGCTGGTCTGAAAATGGCCTTTGAACAGGTTCATTCTGATCTCATTTGGTATTTAGTAGACTGTATACTACTGGGTTTTTTTGCCCTTTAGTGCTATTTTGATGGAGTTTCATTTATATTCTAAGGAATCATCTCTGGAGGAGTGTAGCTTCATATGTTCAAATTCAAATGCAGTATGTTTTATTTGCAGTGTCTTAAGTCACAAGAAAAAGCCAATATTATCAGGAGGCTTTGCATTGGAGTGGGGAAATAGACATGCAGGATRGGAAAATATAAACAATCAGTTGTGTTGCTGTYRTTAAAYARGCTTGTTTTCATTTTGTCTTGTAGTAGTCTTTTGAATATTTTTAATTTTAGCCAGGTCTTCTTATTATGAAAAGGCGAAAAATGTGCAGAGGATCTGATGAAGYATTAAGAAATCATTCTCATTACACAAAAATCCAGTTGTATTACTCCAATAATTTTTAATCTTATCATTAATGTTTAATGGCTGTTCTGAAGAGAAATCTGTACAGCAAAATAAAAAGTGTGCTGCTGAAAACTGAGACTGCAGTTTTATTGGSCAGTCATTTAATACAGTTCATTTTAGTTGGTATTTGTCCTCACAAAATAAATGAGATGAAAATCACAAGCTTACTTCTACTATTTTAAAGAATGTGAGATGACTGAATCATGTAGCAATTCTGGAAATTAGTTCTCTCTTGCTCTGCTTGTTCTACATTTTGCCTTRGTTCAGCCTCAGATACCTTTTTCTTTGCAGTGTGTTGATTGAGCTTATTTGAGTCTGTGGCTTTGAAGATAGTCTAATATTTACAGCAACARAAAAATTACAGTTCTCACACATTCTCTGGCTAGAATATAAAAAAGGACTGCTGCATTTTGTTAGCTGAAAGTTAAGAAAAAAGCTGTCTTTGTCAGCACTTTGAGAGTAGTTCCTTGATAATGAACAARCCATTTCTTTCTATGATGCAGCTCTCACTGGAAGAATATATTTAAAAGCTTATCAGCATACTTTTTTCCAGACAGACGAATTGATAGTTTAAAATAAGTTGGKTTTTTTCTCCATGAAGATTGAGACAAACTGAGAGCACTCACATCTTTCAAATACTAATGGATATTCCTGTCTCTGGAGACAAAAACTAAACCCACTCATTGGGAAACACTAGTTAGAAAATCAGATCAAGAAGAAGAAACAAGTTAATGGAATTGTAAAAGTAGATGGAACTCGTTTGAACCTGTTCTAGATAAATGACTGGGTTGTATGATGTTGTATCACTTGATAGTTTCTGTAATTAAAACATGTTTATTCAGTTGTGTTAAGAACAAAATGTTAATCTATCACTTCTGTCTTGCAGGGAAATGTTTTGCAGGCTCCGGTGAYCTGCGCAGGCACGTGAGGACGCACACGGGGGAGAAGCCCTATACCTGTGAGACGTGTAACAAGTGCTTCACCCGCTCGGCCGTCCTGCGGCGCCACAAGAAGATGCACTGCAAGGCCTCTGAGGAGGGGCCCAACACCCTCGAGGAGTTGGCTCAAGGGATTGAAACCTCAGACCTTGACAAGTCCCAGAGCTCTGACTCTTTTGGCCAAGAYATGTCTGTTACGTTGTTACCCGTGTCTGTTAAATTTCCCCTTCGTCCGGCTGTGAACTCTGCTGAATTTGACGGTTCCGGAGATTCCTACTGCAAGTTACGATCAATGATCCAGCACCACGACTCTGCAAACCCGGAGAAACTCAGTGTGGATTCTGCTAAGGTGCTGAAAGCCCAGGCACAGCAGACTCCACTAGCAGCACCCCCATATGGCTATGCAGACGTGGATGTGTCCTCAGCAGAGGAACCCTTGCAGTCTGACGGCATCCCCATGATCCGCTCCTCCGGGGCTGGCCTGGACAGTGACCCTCTGGGCAGCCGGRCCTCCTCTGCCCCTTACAAGAGTAACGAGGGCCCCTTCTTCTCCAGCATGACCCTCTGGGGCTTAGCCATGAAGACCTTGCAAAATGAAAGTGAATTGGAACAGTGAGGGATCAGCTGACTGCACCAAAACTTCTTAGAGGCATTTCGTGCTAATGTGATTGCAATTGCACTGCAGCATGGAGAGATCACAGGTAGTTTTTAAGCCAGGTAGCRTGGGCACTGACAGGAATCAAAGTGTGTATTCCCAGAACCCTGTGTAGGCTGCCTTTATTTACACTACTTCTCAGCAAAGTGTAAATGCACTGTTGGGGACCTTCATTGTTCTGTGACTGCACTGTGTGGCTTATGTTATTGCCATGATTTACTAAAATTTGCCACTGACTAAATTTTCCATTTAACTTGGAATTTTTTACCTGGTGATGGAGGAAAGAATGGCCAGTGTCTAATTTCATTATGTTCTAATTTCATGAGTATAATTCCAAGTATGGGTTATCAGAGCTGTGTAAGGGTGTAGATATGACAGGAGGAAAATCCCTAGTGAACCTGAGTTTCAGTAGTGGCTTTCTTACCAGTAGGGTCATTGGTTTACAGGACCTGAGTATTGTGGCATTGAATTTAAATGTTAAATACTGGACAATATTTGTGATAGTGCAAAGTAACTGTATATCTAGAAACTTTATTTTTTTACAACAAAAGCTTTTTTTAGTATTTTATAAACTATTTTGCACAGCAGATTATTTGTATAATGAAGGCCAAGATCAAGTCGTGAATAAAGGGAAGTTGTTTTACATTGCTTGATGTGTTTAATCTTTCTATGAAGGATTTTTGGTAGTGGCTCCATCTATTCCAGGTATCTTTACAATGCTAATGGGGATRCCACCACAAGAAGAGCTGCACTATAAAATAAATGCAATCAATACAGCAGTGGTTTGTCTTGTACTTGAATGAGTATAAAACATTGGCTGATTAATGGAATAAATAGACTGTTACAGGATAGGAATGTTGCTTAGAGGCCTTTTTCTGCTTTGCTGATTTGAATGGTTGCTGCATTCAGTTTAACTGCTGCCTATAGATACATGACATTCTGTGGAAGTTTAACACTTGGAAAATACAGTATTTTTCTATCTTTAAGTGCTCACCAATTTTTTCCCCMAAAAAATTCAAAACTAGTTCTTCCATCTCTTTACGTGACAATCTGGGGCTTCACTTCCTTTCTTCGTTTACTTGGTTCTTGTACCTTCCTATTTTTAACTTGAGTTGAAAATGAGAGTGTTAAAAATGAGTTAAAATGAGAGTGTTACTGACCAGAGCATAGCAGGGTGTCCTTCAGACAAAAGGGGCAGCACATTACACTGAGTCTCAAAAGATACACATTTCTCTCAATAGCCATTTAAAGATATGAAAAACATTTTTATTACATTAGCAGACTAGTTGAAAAAATATGTATATAAATTCAGCTGCACTGGAGGGCAAATTGGGAATTTTTTTTCACCTTTCTTTTCTTGTAGTGCACGTTGTAGTGCACATATACCAGGGAGTTTTGAAACATCTCTGTTTTTTCCAGCCAGTGAAGTCAAAACACAGCAGCTTTTCAGGGTGTGTTTGTTAAAAATAGCACATAGTCTAGCTGAGCACAGTCCCACATGGATTAAGCAGGGAACACGTTATGTATATGAGCCCTTAGCTCTTCCCTCATTCTTTGCCTTTTGCCATATTTGCAGTTCCCTGTGGGAATTGCCCACAGCCCAGGTATTACCGTGCTGTCCCTGACCACGTGTGCTCATGCTCTCACTCTGCTTTCCTTGCACTTCTGCCTAAGGCAAAATGTGGGTATCTGCCAGTCACCAGCTCTCTATGTTTCTTCTTGTCAGAAACTATTTTTAAATTTCCTTATCCCAAGAGAAAATCGAAATTTGACTCTGTTCCCACGAGGATTCTGTTACTTGGAAAGGACCAATCTGCAATTTGAGAACCTCCTAACTTTTTAGTTGTCTCTGGTTCCGTTGTGGTTTTTCTTCCTCTGTGGTATTTTTGAAGAGTTTAAAACAAACCATGTTGCAACCTTTGTTCTCTTCTAACAGTGTTGGAGATCTGGAGGAATGTGTAAGTCTGTCACAAAGTGACAACTTGAGATACTTTTAAACAGATTGGATTGAAGGTATCAGGTGCTTTGGGCCAAGAGGACAGCTCTCTTGCAGTAAGGATAATCCCCCTTGCTTGTCAGTATTTCTTTCTCCGAGAGTTGTTTCACGCCAGAARCACGAAAGTTCTCAAAACTGCTACCAGACTGTGAGTGCTGTTTGCAGTTTGGAGGGTTTGTTCAAACACCACGTTGCAATGTGGCATCTTTGAGAAGGAAGTAAAGCAAGCACTGGTAGGAAGAAGCTGGAACCAGAAAAAGAAGGAGTTGCAGCACTGGGAAAGAGCTCTAAAAACTTGTTTCTGGCTTGAAGGAAAAGCTGAGAAAGARGGAATGAATATTTATGTATGGAGTAAGAAGTTTTGGATTAAGAAGCTACATCCCTGCAGCCACTTTGCAGTGCGAATGTCACTGCCTGACARCAAGAAAATGTATTTTGCTGTTATGTTTCCAAAATCAGATACAGTCTGTCACGTCCATTTAATATTGCCTGAGCTTTTCTCTGGGAGACCTCAGTAGAAAATTACCTTGAAAGAGGATCTTTCCTGTATCCTAATAAATTTCTGTGCCAGCCTACAGGTCCATAATGAAGAGGATATTTGAGTGAAAATAGYAAATATGGTTTCATAGTCCTGGGTGCTGCCATAAACCTGGCACAGCTGGAGAGGTGCAGCTATCCTGTGACTTTGAAGAACAGGTGGAAACTGTGACACAAGGGCAGAGCCAATGGTATTTTACAAGGAGCAGACATCCATCCATAGCTGTTGCTCATAAATACCCACAGCCAGGATGCTGAGGGGGCAAATAAAACATCAGTCCTTTGGCCAATACCAGGCAGTGCAGCAGTGCTATTATAGTTGA